TAATTTTTTGGTGCTTAATTAGTGAAGAGTTACCAAACATCTTGTGCTCAGATGACATGTAGTGATCTCTCCCATATGGGAGGGCATGAGATCATGTCTCAGTGAAGGCATTGTTGGCTCTGTAAATATATTTGAACAGATACTATATACTAACTTTCTTTTTTACTAAAAATGAGATAATCCAATTTATGAGACCTAATGAATGGAAACCATATCAGAAAATTCAAGAGGGAAAAATAACAGGGGCCAATAATCTTATAGTCTAGTGGTATAAAGTGATTCTCCCAAATTCGAGTTATGAGTTTGAGCTGGGACTGATATTGACTCTTTGTATTACAAATATTACAAACTCAAAGGGTACGAGACTAACGTGAAATTATCCTTCCAATAATCCATATATTCCGTTTCCCTAGTCTCTCTGATCTACTCTGTTTTGTCCCACTATAGGACCAATAAATAAGTGAGAACATGAGATAGGGGAGTATTTGATTTGCCAATTATTGTCCCAAATACCACAATTAAGATTAACATAAACAATCAAAATTTGTTTACCAGAAAAATAAAATAAAATTCATATTCTAGAAATTTACAGAAGAGATGAGGACATTAATATTGATCACAAGAAATAGATGCAATATTGATATGACCCAGAAACCAAAGAGGGAGTGCATCTCAAATATCTGATACTGAATAGAATAGAAAGTTGAAAGCCCCAAAAGCAGCCAGCAAGCAAGCCTGGAACTGCAATTAACTCAAAAATTTCAACCACTCTCATCTTCCCATCATTTTCCTTTTAAAAGCTTTTGTTTTTGTTTTGTTTTTGTTGGTTTTTTCTTTGGTGAGGGTTAGGGCATCTGTCCAATATAATCTACCAATCATTTCATTTTGAATTAATACCATATGGGTTGCTCATAATATAATGGTTTTAATTTGCCTCATTTGGTCATAAACTTTCAAATTAATCACTCGTGATCCTTCGACTTTCAAATTGTTATTATCTGTGGTCTAAGTTAACCACTCATGGTCCTTCAACTTTCAAAATTTAATCAGCCGCAATCTTAGAAGGACCATGAGTGGTTAAAATTTGATAGTTGAAGGATCATAGATGGTAAAAATTTAAAAGTCGAAAGAACCACAAGCGGTCAATTTAAGAGTTTATGATCAAACTTGACAAAATTACTATACTCGAAAGACTCCGGATGATATTATTGCATTTCATTTCACTTCTTCTTCATCAATTATAGCATTAACTCTCAAAAAGGGCAGAACGAACTAACAGATCACACACGAAATGTGTCTGTGAAGTTAACGTAAAAACAGTCCCCACACTTTTCACTTTTCATTTCTGCAATAAATAATCTCTTTCCTTCTCCTCAATAAACATAAATATAAAGTAAAAGGAGACACCTTCTAATGTAAACAGAGTTCATCTAAAGGAACCCTACTATTTCGATTTTTAGTTTTGGATAAAAAAAAAAAAAAAGTACTACTTTTTTACTTGCATCCTATTTCAAATTTTTGTCTTTAACTGTTCAATTCTTTTTTAAAGTTAATAATTTAATTAGCATGAGAATAGTTTATTATGTCATTTTAAATTTTATATTGTCTTTATTTTTCACATTAAAAATTGAGAACACGAGTAATATGGAGATCAATAACATAAACCGAATTTATCTCTTTTAACATGAAAGATTTAGGCAAGCACCTTATGCTTAGATAACATGTAATGACCTCTCTCATGTGGAAGGTCATGAGACTGAGCCTTAGTGGAAGCGTAATGTTGACTCTGTGTGCTTCATTTAGGGATGACAATTCTACCCGCACCCAACGGGTTCCCCCATCCCCGCCTCTACGGGTTTTAAAATACCCGCACAATTTGGGTAATAGGTGCGAGTATGGGGGAAATTTATATACCCGCTCGGGTATGGGGGCGGGTGCGGGGGAAGGTATCCCCGCCCCGCACCCGCACCCGCACTTATATATATTGTTATTAGTATTTATTTATTATATAAGTTTATGTATATTTTATAATTGAAAATGCATAATGAATTAAACTTCTTAGTTTTTTGTTTATGAAATTTGAATAAGAACAACACAAATAACGTAATGAGTAAACACTTAATACAATTTATACTATCAACACAATTTTAGTTCCAATTAAGAACTAACTTCATTGGCTCTTATTAAAGAGTTAATCAACGATTTGGTCCATCAATTATCGCCAAACTGTGAATGTAGTCCTCTAATTCCTTAGTCATCGATTTAGTCCCCGAAAATAATTCTTTTTAGTCATTTTAGTCCCTCAGTCCGTTTTCCGGCAACACTCCAGTTAGACCTCCGATTTACCAGGGTCAATTTTGTCATTTCATTTCATTTGAGTTCGGCATCTTTCTCTTCCATGGAACCACACTCCGGTAACCACGCTCGCGCTGTGTCAATTGCATCTTCTCCAAATGCTTGGCCTACAAACCCAACACTCATCATTCTCTGGCACCATTTCTCTTTACACTCATTCATTTCTCCCACATTTGTCAATGCCTTTGCTGCTTCTCCTTCCATCATATATAGTGTAGGGATGGAATCCATGAAGGCCGCCGTGGATCGCCAGTGGCCACCGGAGATTCCGCTCGGGGAGGTGCACAAGAAGCTGATTAAAGGGCTGAGCGGCTGCGAAATGGCACGGTTCAAGTTCAGAAAGGGCTGCATAACTTTCTACATCTACGCCGTGAGGAGAGCCGGAAACTTGGGATTCTCTCGCGCCGACGATCTGAGAACGGTTTTACAGTCGACTGTGGAGCTCAAAGATTTCTTGGATCACACAGCGATGTTGGCGGTGCCGAACCAGAGAAGCATCCACTGCGCCGCTCCGCCGCCGCCCGTCGCCATGGCTCACTAGCCATATCTTCTTCTTACTCAATATTTTCCTTCTCACTAGCCCGTCTGCATCTTTCTCTTCCATGGAACCACACTCCGGCAACCACGCTCGCGTTGTGTCGATTGCATCTTCTCCAAATGCTTGGCCTACAAACCCAACACTCATCATTCTCGGGCACCATTTCTCTTTACACTCATTCATTTCTCTCACATTTGTCAATGCCTTTGCTGCTTCTCCTTCCATCCACAAGTACTCCACCCTCCTGGAGAATCCTTTGGCGAAGTCCCCGCAATGGCTGTAGCTACAATCTGCATTGTTCTCGCTCAAAACCACGCCTTTTGGACCCAAACTCCTCAGCCCTCTCAAGAACTCTGACCTGTCATCTGGGGAGTGGTGGCTCAGGTTGTGGAGCCTGAACTGGGCAGAAATGATCAAGATCTCATCTGGGGAGGAGTTTATGGTCTGGGAATTTAGGTTCTGAAGTGGGAAATTTTCAAGCTTGTTGATCTGCAGGTTGATGTTAATCCTCTTTGCATAACCAAGAAGGTATTTGGAGAAGTCATAGCCTGGTGGAGAAACCAGAAATGGTGTACTTGTGAAGTGGTGATTGTCGATGACTGTGAGCCTGACAAGCGGCGGAGGCCCTCCCGGCCAGCGAGTTAGCTCCTCCAAAAGCGTCGGTGTGGGTTAAGCAAGTACGAAGTGAATAAACAAATGAAATGACAAAATTGACCCTGGTAAATCGGAGGTCTAACCGGAGTGTTGCCAGAAACGGACGGAGGGACTAAAATGACTAAAAAGAATTATTTTCGGGGACTAAATCGATGATTAAGGAATTAGAGGACTACATTCACAGTTTGGCAATAATTGAGGGACCAAATCGTTGATTAACTCCTTATTAAATTTTAGAGTTATGTTTAAACTTATAAAAAATCAATGTGATAATTACATTGTAGTATAAGATTTTTATTAGATTTAAGTGTAATATAAATAATTAGAGTTGCGGGTTGGGTATTACCTGCACCCGCAAAATCCCCGCGGGGGCGGGTATGGGGTAGGATTTTAATTACCCGCGCGGGTGCGGGTGCGGGGAGTGGCTTGGAAATGCGGGTGCGGGGGCGGGGGATATGTCCCCCGCACCCACCTCGCCCCATTGCCATTCCTAACTTCATTAGTCATTAAGTTGAGAAAGTATGTTTGAACAGATACTACAATGTAATAGAGTCAGTAGCATTCACAAAAAAACATCTTGTGACATGGGACAACCTGATTGGTTCTTTTTATATTTCATGAATAGGTAGATTAACTTTTTAAACTTATAGTGGTTTTTGTCAATTCATAAATCGCCAATGAAATATAAAGAATTATATGTCACTACTTTTTTTGAAATAAAAGGCCATAGCCATATATTAATGAATGAAAGAAGCAATAAAGTCAGGGAGACATAGTCCCAAAACATAGAGTGATCCTGATCAAAAGCTACTGACGCTAAAGATTTATATTATATGTCACTACTTAGTTGAGGAGGAACCTAGAGATTTAAAGAGTTTATTCACATACCAAACGCCTGGGCCGACCTTAGTCATGAGCAGTCAAGATGACGACATATGGGAGGTTGTCGGTTAAGTCATATTTATCATATCTAAAATTTTTATTTATGCCAATAACCTTGTGGTTTAATGACACCAAGTTGCCCTATATAGGAGGTTGTGGGTTAAGCCTCAGAAGGCGGTATTGACTCTTTGTGCTTCAGTAGGTTGAGAAAGTATATATATATATATATATATATATATATATATATATATATACACACACACACACTATTATTTTTAAAAAAAATATTTTAATATAATTAATATTTTAATATTGAGTATTAAATTCAACATTTTTTGTGCACCGCACATATAAATTGTTAGGTATTTATATATTTGTCAATTACACTTCTGTTACTATTTTAAATTTAAATGGTGATTACAGGATTGAACCCAAAAAATTATAAGTGTTCCAAAAAAAAAAAAACATTACTTATATATTTTGTGCAGGCAAGGATTAAATTAAATTATAGAAAATAAAAAATTGTCCTGGTGGTCATACAAAAATTCCCTAAACTACACATATCTGTCTGTGTCTATATATATATATATGCTTAGTCTGGTGTTGGTGTAGCAGATGAGATTTCTGGGTGCTCTTTGATTCTGCATTTCTTTCTCCTCCTCTGCAGAGAGAGAGAGAGAGAGAGAGAGAGAGAGATGAGATACATACGCACCGGCAGCCTGAAAAGGCTATTTTCACTGAAAAGAAACAGTTTTGATGAAGAAATTGCAACCCCAAGAAGCTCTGATTTCACCCCAGAAGACACTACTGCCTTCCCCCTAGCAGTTTCTCATCCTAGGCCTACCTGGAAATGCTTCTCCTATCAACAAATCTTCGATGCAACAAATGGTTTTAGCCCAGGTTTCTTCCCCCACCCCTAAACTTGCAACAAAATATAATCCCACATTTTTTTTTACCATTTCTCAGTTTCTTGAATTTTGGTTTAGGAAATATGGTTGGCAAAGGAGGGTATGCAGAGGTGTACAGAGGGGTGTTAGAAGATGGGCAGACAATTGCTGTGAAATTGCTGACAAAAGAGGCAAATGATGAGAGGAAAGAAAAAGAATTCTTGACAGAAATTGGGGCATTGGGTCATGTTTGTCACCCTAATGTCACTGCACTTCTTGGCTGCTGCATTGAGAATGGCCTTTACCTCATTTTCCAGTTCTCTTCCAAAGGATCTGTTGCCTCTCTTCTCCATGGTCTCTTTCATTCTTAATTCCCTAATTTCCCCTTCTTTTTTAAAAAAAAAAAAATTTGTCTAAATTTATATGATTTCTTTCTGTTTGAAGATGAAAAGTTGCCCACCATGGATTGGGAAACAAGATACAAGATTGCAGTTGGAGCTGCTAGAGGTCTGCATTATTTACACAAAACCTGTCCCCGAAGAATTATCCATAGAGATATCAAAGCTTCAAATATTTTGTTAAGTGAAGAGTTTGAACCACAGGTACCATTCTTTTTTTTTTTTTTTTTTTTTAAAAAAAAAATTGAGCAAATTCATATATATTGATGGTGTGATTATATGGTTGATAGATTTCGGATTTTGGACTGGCGAAATGGCTTCCATCACAATGGACCCATCATTCTATAGCTCCTATAGAAGGGACATTTGGGTAGAGTATACTCTTTCTTCTGAATTTCTGTGTAATAATATAATTCTCATATAATAATTAATTAAAAGAATATATTAGCTGTTAACTTCATTAATAAATTTGCAGTGTTATTTATTTTATTATTATTTATTTGTTTGTTTGTTTGTTGGGTTATGCAGACATCTAGCGCCAGAGTATTTCATGCATGGAGTGGTGGATGAAAAGACAGATGTTTTTGCATTTGGAGTCTTTCTTTTAGAACTCATCTCTGGGAGAAAACCTGTTGATAGCTCTTATCAAAGCCTACATAGCTGGGTAATAATTCCTCTTTTCTTTCATAATTCAACTAATTCCATCTTTAGTCCTCGATTATTCAAAACGCGAGACCAAATTAACCTCGTCTTGTGCCCCTAGCTGGTAAAAGACTACAAAGAGGTAAACCAACTTAAGTTGTTCATAGCTGATAGGCTCAAATCGAGAAGGCCAATAGGCTGATACTGTTGGGAGTTGAATTTGTAATTTTGTGATTACTATTGGTCAATTTGGTTGAGGTTGTCCCTGTCTTTTGTCCCTAGTTGGTAAAAGACTACAAAGAGACAAACCAACTTAAATTGTTCATAGCTGACTGACTGATTCAAACTAAAAAGGTCAATAGGCTGATACTGTTAGGAGTTGAATTTGTAATTTTGTGGTTACTAAATAACAGTTTGGTCAGCTTGGCTGAGGTTGCCCCTTGAAAGAGTATTTTACTACTTTTGATGTTTTATCCTGTACTAACATGATTTATTTAGGTGTGACTGAGAAGTGGTTAATGGTATATTTGGCAGGCAAAACCTATACTTTTGCAAGGTGAGATAGAAGTGGTTATAGATCCAAGACTTAATGGGAAGTTTGATGTTAAACAACTTGACAAACTTGCCTTTGCCGCATCTCTTTGCATTCGTTCTTCTTCCATTTGGCGTCCTACTATCACTGAGGTACCTAATTCTTAATTAATTTCTTTAATTTTCTGCTCAATTAAATTTTTTTTTTTCATTTTTTAATATAAGGAGAATGAAAATATAGGTAAATATCGTACTTATAATATGCTTGTTACTGTACTAGTGTACTACAAAAAATTTGACTCAAAAGTAAGACTATTTCAAAAATTTTGAACTAAATTTGATCGATTTTAAAAGTCACTCAAATTGACATAATTAAAGAGTAAAAGTAAAAATATTATACTTTTTGTCATACTGTGATTTATCTATAGAAGTGAAGTTTATATTTATAACATATCCTCAAATAGTAATTGTAAATTTTTACCTAATAAAAAGTGATATTAACTCAATGGTATTTGTTACTAAAACTTAGAAAATTGGCGTTAGTTAGCACTTAACACTTATCAAACGGCTAAATCTAATTTCAGTAATTGCCAAACGTTTGCAATCCATATTTTTCTAATTTCTACCATCTTTATATGACTTGGGGAATCTTTAGCGTGTCGAAAATTCACTATATTTACTGTGAAAAGAGTATTAACATTTTTGTAAATTAATAACTACCATTCTATATATATATATATATATATATATATATATATATATATATATATATATATATATATATATATATATATCTTATACTACTCTCTCTGACTCATTTTATCTGTCCGGCTTACTATTTATTAGTTAAACCAACTCTTTCTTCTTTTCTTGTTTTCATTAGTTTTTACTTATAATTTTTAAATGATTTTTTTTTTTTTTGTGTTTAATAGTATTTTTAATGTAATTTTTAAATATATAAATTTCACATACTTTCTAAATTTAATATTATAAAAAATTAAATTATAAATAACTTCAGTCAATCATCGTTAACTGAACCTGACACATAAAATGGGACGGGAGAGTATATTTTTTTAATTTTTTTTTAAAACAAAATTGAAATCTCATTAATTCTCATGATAGATGAAAACTTAATTTGTTTAGGGTAGCATGATTTTGTCTTAGAGTAAGGTGTAAGCATATTATTGTGCTAATTTATTGTTGGGCAATTCACCTAACAAAAACACACTTTATAAACTTTAATTTTAATTTTCTTACCTGCCTCAGCTAAGATAATGGCCAATTATTATGATAATCGAATTCTTGTTGTACAAACATCATGGATAATGTGGGTTGAAGAACATTATGGTGGTGGGTTGACCCGGTTAGAAAATTTTCTGGTCGGCATAAATTATGGAAATGGGGATTAGTTAATTATTGTATTGGTTTTGATTGCTTAATCATGGCCATAATCTTGGCTTTTTATGGCTTTAATTAATTTAATAAATCACTTTCAGTGCATAATGCACGCCTGCCTAAATTAATGTTTAGTCACAGTTTATCCATGTTTAAGCAATCCTAATAATTCAACTGATGTTTTATCCTACCCAACGTGTTTTTATTATTTTGGCTTCTACCTTATGCCTTTTTAGCTTTTCTTTTTTTTTTAAAAAAAAAAAATTGGGATTTTAATAATTTTATTTAATTTAGTATTTCACTAAAAAATTGTCAATTATGTCTCACTTTATCCTATAGGGACAAATTAGGTAATTGATCTGTCAATGTATAGTATACAATTGGAATTTTTTATATTGTATCAATGTCAAATCAATAGCCAATTTGTTTGTGTTGGATAAAAAATAAAAAACTATATTATTTTGTTCATTTTTTTTAATTATTATTTTAGATTCAATTCAATTACTTAATAGTTTACTTAGGTTGGTTCTTTGGGATTAGACTTAATACCACTAATAAATATTAATTTTAATTTTTTGTTAAATCAAAAAACAAAACAAAAAAAATAAATCTTGTTTTAGAAAATTTTGAACCATTTTTCTTTCCAATTTAACAAAATTCAATATTTCTTTTAAAAAAAATTATTTCCCTTATTAACAGGTATTGGAGGTAATCTTGAGGGGGGAGCTTGATAAGGAAAAATGGAAAATGCCAAAAGAAGAAGAAGAGCAAGAAGAGTTTTGGGGGTTTGAAGATCTTGAATGTGAATGTGAATGCGATAGCTCTTTCTCAACCTCTCCGCAAAATACCTTCTCCGCAACCATCTCATAGTTAGCAAGATTTAAAATCTTAAATACTCAACTTATTGTAAATAATATTAAAAATGTAGTCCTTTAGTACGTAAATTCATCTTTTCTACGACAACAATTAAATTCAGATAGCAAAATTTATGAAAATTTTTAAAATGTTACTAATTTTTATTCTTCATATATAAATAAATAATATACATAAGGGGGTTTTTTTTTTCACATTATATAATTTTAGCTATTTGAAATATATTTTCTCTGTAAACCAAATAACGAAATAGCATTCTTATTCTTCAAAAATTGATTATATGAACCAAATGTGTTGTTAAATCATATTTGTCATTTGTTACAATTATCACTGAACATTTCGATTTTGATAATTTTATTCAAAACATTTTTTGGGGGGTTTAATATCACAAAAAGAAAAAGAAAATAAAAAATTTGATATTTTTTGGGTATAATAAAATTTTGGATATAAAATCACCAAAGTTTAAAAGTTTGAGGGAAGACATAAGAATTAAGAAAGAAAGAATTAATTACCGAAATGGTCCCTTGACTATAGTGAAATTATCAATTTGGTCCTTTATTATTTTTTGACCAATTCAATTCCTCAACTTGGGACCAAATTGGTCATCCGTTAACTTGGGACCAAAGAATCAATTACTGTTTGGTATATTACCGAACCGAACTAGTTTGATTCTATTTGTTTTGCCGTTAGACATCCGTTAACTTGATATCAAATTGGTAATTTTACTATAGTCAAGGGACCATTTTAGTAATTAACTTTAGGGGTGACCAATTCAGTGCGATTTTCCCAAATTGAATCAAACTAATTCAGTTCGGTAATATACCAAACGGTAATGGATTCTTGTATACTTAATAGTAAGTTTGAGTGAAGGCATAAGAAATGGTAAAACTTTAATTTGATATTTGAAAGCATTATATTGGGACAAAAATGTAAAATGAGAAAAAAGGGGCCAACATGTCAAATGAAATCCAGCGAGGAAGGTTGTGGGCTGTCTCCAAGGTTCAAAATAAAGGTGTGTTTTGTGCGCAAACAATGATATGTTCCAACCATATCTATTCAGGACACACATTATAATGTCCAATCGTTATTGCGTGGACCGTGGTCCACAAAGTTGTGTGGACCACGGTTAAAAAATGATGTCGTTTAGTGTAATTTTATTTATTTTTATCTTTAACGCGACTCGCTGTAATATACATTTTTATAAATTATAATGTACATTATTTTACCCTATAAATTTCATTATTCTAACACATAATGTACATTATTATAACACATAAAGTATATTATTTTAACACATAATGTACATTATTCTAACTAATAAAATTCACAACATCATTTTGGACCATGATCCACACAATAATTAGCCTATAATGTCCAACTCCGACTCAACCAAACTGAAACAGTTAATGAATATACACATATTTTCCCCCTTTTAAAAATAGAGTTAATATCCAAAATCGTCTCTCGACTATGCCATAAATTAAAAATTATTAATTCATTATCAATTTTAGTCATCTTATTAAGTAAAAATTGAATAGTATAAAGACCTTATTAAGTTAGAATTGAATAGTTTATTATATTTTTTAAATACTAGGAGCAGACTTGTAATTTTTTCTTGATTCAACAAAAGTTTGATAGAAAAGATATAATCATTTTATTTTATGAAATGAATAACTGCTTGGATAAAATTGTTCGATTTTTATGATATAAATGAGGATTTGAAAATTAAAATAGAAGTGTTTTAATAAAAGAATTAAAATGAACATTTGAAAGTGTATTTATATATTATACAAGTGTCAAGTTAATAATTTATTTGTCTAGATTAGGTAAAGTTGAGATATAATTGAATTTTTGTTCAAACTTTTTACCACTACGTCAACGCATCACTCAAGAGTATTAGCCATTTTTTTTTTTGCCTAATTGCACAAAATTGACTTGTTTGGAGAATAATAAATTTAGATAATCTAATTGTATTGACTAATTTGACCATTATTCCTATCTACATTTGAGTTTTTAATTATTACTAATGTGGTGGGCTTACTATTAGTATAATGAGATGAAAAATGTTGAAAATGGAAGGGGGTGTTTTCCAGGCAAATTATATTGTGCACCAAGGCGTACAATGTTAGAGTTATGTGTATTATGTTATGAATTTATGTGTATTATATTAAAAGTTTATGTATATTATGTTAAGAGTTTATATGTATTATGTTAGGAGTTCATGTGTATTTTATTATACAATTATTATACAATTATGTACATACGAAACAGATGATTTTTATGGCGCATAATGCATTATGCACCCTGATGCACGATATGGTTTTCAAGCTTGGGCCATGGTGGACCCAAGAAGATTAGCAATTGAGGGAGGCATAGTAGCAATAGCAAAGTAGGCCTATACCTTGCAAACGGGAAGGACTGAAGGAGTTCGACCAATTGGTGATGACGACAAAGTCATGTGGCTTGTTTAGGAGAGAATGAGATTTAATTATGAATAAATAATAACAAATTATAATTGAAATGAGTTGTGTAGTAACTTATAAATAGAAGTTGTCTCCATATTTTGTATCACACTCTTCTTTAAGAATAGATCTATACCGGCCCGCAGCGCAACAGCCATAATTTGCCTTTAGAAACTGGAAGGATTTAACTTAACGGTAGCTTAACAGCAATGAAGAGACCAAAAACCTAACACACAGAGAAATTATGTGTATACTAACAATACCATTTACTACAAAATATACTAACAATACCATTTACTACAATGTTTCTTCTTTAAAAAAAAAATAAAATGTTTTGATCATGTATATTAACAATACATTTTACTACAAAATATCGTTAAAAATATAATCACACACAAACTTAGTTTGGGCGAAGAATACTAAATCAGACAAGAAAAATGAGTATTATACCAAACCCACAATTATTGAACAAGAATATTTTCGGCCATTTAAATGTTCATTCTTTCTTTTTAGTCCTCAAATCAACCAAGTATTTGAATAGAATTAGTAAATATTGACATTAAAGTAACCAAAATTATAAGGAAAAATCTACCAAACATTTTAACCTAAGATAGATATCGAGTAACTATGTTAATTAAGCAGAAAAATTGTTGGTAGCGGAGAAAAAAAGAGTTTGATACATCCATACCGTGACAAGAAGAAGATGTTGAACTGAGAATTTGGGTTTTCAAATTCATTTGCTGTAACTGATCCTCAAGCTCAAGCGAGGGTGGCTCTCTTGCCTTTTGCGTCTCTAGACTGCAAAATGCGAATAAATAGAGCATATCAGCAGCAAGGGCGGGTGGGAATTTGTGTATTACGCCTAATGATAAGAAGGGGAAAAGACCTGGGAAGCAACTGATCTTTTTGAATCCAAAAACTGGCTGTAGATGTCGTATAAGCGCCGCTTTTCGTTTTCTGAAACCGAGGGCTTTGCCACGGACGCAATGCGTTTCAAAAGAGTGTCGGTAATCACAGGCATCTTGCCAGACTGCTCACCATTTTCACCGTTCAGGATGTCATGTACGGCTTCAAGCTGTGCATCAGAAAGAAGCGCTTGCAGATCAGCTCCACTCAACCCTTCGGTTATATGTGCTATCGCTTCCAAGTTCACGTTACTTTCAAGTGGTAACTGCACCTCACACAGCAAATCAGTAAGGCAGACAATTCAAATCATTTGGCTAAGAATTTTACTCATGCTAAATAGATTTTGAACAAGTTTCTATCCTTCTGGAACTATACCCTGCTTCCACCCAAACCCCTGCTGTTCATTTCTATAGCTTGACACAGCAGAAATTTCGAATCTTTAATACCTACAAGTAATGATCATTATTGCTGAAACAAATTGAAGTATTGAACACAAGATTTGGCCTACATTTTCCTCTCCTATCACCAATCATTACTATGTTATCATGTGTCAAGCTAGCACATCAATAGCTTCACATTAACCATGCCAAAGCCTAGCTTACAGCCTAAAAAATCCTTTCACCCCAAAGATTCAGAGATTTTAAAAAATTAAAATATATTATATATTAAATGGAAAATACTATTATTCCCACTATTCCCTTGTAGTGACTGTTTTCATTTTGGGGTAGTACTAGAACAAAATACTTCTGTAAACTACTAGGCCTTGATAGAACTTCACCGGAACTGGACCAAAATTGCAGTTAAAGAATATAAACCAAACCTTGGCATTAGTAACTACACAGTTTTGAAGAAGCTAATTTAAAAGGAACAGTGAGAGGGAAATGCTTGCTGATTGCTCGACATGAAAAGATTGCAACATGGGTGTTTGCATAAATGCCTCACTGGTAATATCTGCCTGATCCTTTTTAGTTGGCAGGTTCAATGTACACATTTGAGGAAAAGGTTCAACCTTTTTTTTCTCAAATTAGTTCAGACAAACCACATTGTTGGGCAAAATTAACACTTGTGTTGAAAGAGAGATTATAACAAAAATATATTCTGAGATACAAAAGTTAAATGCATATAAACAAATATATAGGCATCATCCTGAGACAATGAGCAGACATGTCAAATGCAATGTCTGCTCAATGTTTCAGATTTAAATGTAGGCTTATCCTGGGAATCTAAAAAAATACACACTAACTATATTTTCAACAGGTTGAAATTAAAGGAGTTTGCAACTGTCCTTAATTGTTTCCTTTTTAAAGATACAAGGACTAAAATGAAAATTTTCAGTTTTCAAAAAAAAAAAATGAAAATTTTCAGGGACTACTTGCATAAACAAAGTAATCCAAACACAGATAGTGTATTAAATTGGTGACAATTTAAAAATATAACCATAGTTTTCAGGTTATCCATGCAATTAATGCAGTCAAATATGAAATATAACCAACCTTTCTTGAAAGAACTCTAAGAATGTCCAACCTCTCACGTGGTGAAGGAAAATCACAAAACAACAGACGATCCAATCTCCCAGGCCGTAGGAGAGCAGCATCAAGCAAATCAGGTCTACTGCATAATTTAAAAATAACAAACACTCAGAGTTGTTCTCAGACTTCGCATAAACAAAACAACATGAAAAGGGAGGCTGTAAAAATAGAACAGAATAAGCACCTAAAAAGTCCTGGCCCACACTTGTAAGAACCATAATTAATACTATACTAAACCACATTTCTATACAGAAACCTTGTTAGCCCACTACTTTTTAATAGGCTCAACAATATATTGATACCATTCTCCCTAGCAGCAATTCACCATAAAAATTGAACTCCATAATCAGTATACATCTTAAACAGAGGCCCTAGAATTGAATACACTTGCAGCAAGTTTGGAGCTTATGATCTACACACTCCATCTTGAGGGGCAGTGTTGACAAACATGTGAGGAAATTCTAAGGGACAAACATGTGTAGAAATATGAAGGGGTGGGGGATGAGTATCTTAAGAGTCCTTATATTTGTATATACACGTGTATGCTCTATGGATTTGATAAGCAATGAAATATGCTCCTTTTCTTCTCTAAAATTGAGTATTGACAACTTTTCAAGGAATAGCATTATCTGTGTTGCTGGAAACTTCACCCTCATAGAGAGCTGCAGCATAAGGAAAATGGACTTCTATAGGTAAAGTTCGTTAAGAAATGATGGGCATCGATTAAAACACTCTTTACCTACTACCCTTATATAAAAAATCATATAGCAAAGACCCCCTGTGGTTTCAGGAAAATAACTTAGCCTCCAATGGATAAGTGTCACACTGTCACCCTACACCCCATTTAAGAAATACCAAAGCAAAACCTGTATATGAATATAAGCAATTGAGTAATTTAAAAAAGTCAAAAAGAAAAAGAAATCTCAGTTCACCTAAACACACTACAATATGATGCCTATTGAGAATAAATTGAAAAAAAATATATTAAAATGGTTAGAATCAGAGGTGAGAGAGTTACCTTGTTGCAGCAAAAACAAAAACACCAGTCAAGACTTCAACACCATCCAATTCTGTTAGAAACTGGGTGGAAGGGTTTAACAATTTCTCAGTGATATTGAAATAAATTGATAATCTAAACTTCAAAAGATACAGTACAGCATCAAATGATAGAAGGATGAAGAAAACTAACTTGATTTACTACTCTATCTGTCACACCAGTGTTATCATGCCCCCTCTTGGGTGCAATAGAATCAAATTCATCAAAAAACAGAAGGCATGGTGCTGCTAAAGCTGCTTTAGAAAATATATCGCGAACCTGAAGCAAAAACATTCATGTTATTAGGCCAAGAGGATGCTTATATACATTATTGACCCAAGAAGTACTTCACGTCTAGATGCTTCTAAATTTGATACATCTATTCAAGTGGACTGGAAAGTTTTAGGTTAACTTTATCTTACAGCTTGCTCAGAAGCACCAATGTACTTATTCAGCAGTTCAGGGCCTTTGACTGAGATAAACCGTAGGGAACATGCAGCAGCAGCAGCACCAACAATGTGTGTCTTGCCACAACCAGGGGGACCATACAATAGGACATTGGACCGCATCCTTAATGGAGCTTGTGAAAAGATATTTGGAAACTTCGAAGGTAACTCAATCATCTAAAACATATAAAAGGCATCAGTTCATACTATACTAAATAAAGGATTAGTATGAAGCAATAGAAATTTTTTTGATTAAAATGCATGCACAACTAGTTGTAAAACATGCGACTTTGTAAAGTCCAAATTCTTGAGAAGTTAAATAAAAGCAAACTGAAACATAATTAAGCATAGGAGAGGAAAGGAACTGGAAATGGAATCCATCACTCTTGTTTGGAACCCAATTAATATGGATTTAGACTTGGAATTAAAAAATTGTGAAGGAAAATGCAAAACTTTTCAATGTTTGGAATATAAAAAGTCCTCCACTATTTGTGATGAAAGCTTGGGATATAACTATATTAGAGTAAAATCAGTAATCCTCTTCCTTAAGGGGGATAAATGGATAAGCCAGTGGCTACCAAATATTGAATGTCAACATTAGACCTAATGATTTTATGGTGTTCAGGGTTTAACTTAGTAGTAACACATGTTTCTTTCTAAACCCAAGAACTTAGTTCAAATCTCCTCCCTAACCACCACCAGCAACACATTTCCCCTCACAACATAGAAGAAGCAACACCATTGCTACATTGCTGGAGTCATGAGCCTCTATAGTTGCGAGGGTGAAGATGAAGAAACTGTTGTATCTACGGGTTAAGCTTTCACCCCTTTAAAGTTAGGGTTTGGCTGGCTGTCAGATGGAATTAACAGTTCGCATAAGGTGGGGGACCAAATACGCATCATTATTTGAAATTTGAGGACCATATAAGCAGTTAAGCACACATGATACAATCAGGGACTAAACTCAATTTCAGCCGTAACTTTGGGACTATGTTATTTTCCCTAAATAACTCTCCTCCTGTGTCATTAATCCATCTGTTAAATCACATGGCACACATAACTAACTCATTGGTGATTGGTCAATGCCCAACAAATGAAGTACTTTGATGAATATAAAGTATCTTCATGTGCTTATGCAATTCAGTTAAGGCCAACACCGGGGAATTGGGGAAGGAAGGGGGTCTGTGGCTCTCCCGACCTCTAGAGAATTTGTGGTTCTAAGTGGGAAGATCTATTATCATATATAGTTCACATTGACTCTGCCACTAGAAATTTAGAAAGATAAAAATTACACTACAAGTGCATTTGTCCAGCTAAATATTTTCAAAAATGATCTAATTTTGATAAGAACTTTTAAAGAACTTGTTGACAAAGTTTTCAATATGTTTAGTTGAATACATATTAAAAATTCTTTTGGGAACACGTATCTTGTTTGGATATCTAACTATTAAAACTCTTTTTATATTAATGATGGTCAAAGTCACAATAAAGGGCAGGCATTTCTTAAACTAGAAGTTAAAACTGGTAAAACATAGGGAGATATCTGAAAATTTCAAAAGTGTCACTAAATAGAGTAGGCTTATTAGCAAAGAGCTTATTTGAAAAGCCTAAATTTGACTTTTGGGATACAAGAGGTTTTCTATTATCTACTACCCAAAAAAAAAAAAAAAAAAAAAAAAAAAATCCCAAAAATTAATGTTTGTCCTAAATTTTGGCTTTCCAAAATAAGCAAGGAAAAACATGCACCACCCTCCTACCCTGTACCCAAAACCTTAAAAAGTAAGAGAAAATTGACTGCCCAAAAAATAAAGAAAAAAGTTAGAGATAATAAAAAATAAGACATCATATTACTAATTGCAAATCATGCTACCATTTTGAAAGGATAAAAATAAAAATAAATAAAATTATAAAATTATTACATTTTAAGACCACTAAGATAAGAAAACAATTACCTCTTTTATAGCATTGCAGATGTCATTAAGACCCCCAACATCCTCCCAACCAGTGCGTCCACCATCTGAAGAAGGTTTAGTAATATCACGCATTGCAACTGGAAGGAATTCATGCATTGCATGAGTAAAATCATCCTTAATTAGAGTAGGTCTTTCTTTGTCGCTTAAACATGATGAACTGGATAAAATACGACTGACAGCAGCATGAATAGATCTATCAACCAGTATTTCCTGTATAACAATGTAAGCTTATAAATAAATATAAACATATATATGTGTGTGTCATTCATTGAAGGGAAGACACCCATGTCAATGCTATATTGCTCTTTTCTTGTTTGACAGTAAAATATCTGAACTGCAAATACATGGGGAGATTTTGAGCACTTTCTAGAAATGTCATCAAATTCATAAAACATAACAAAGATGAAATATGTTGAAATATAATAAAGTATAAACCTTAGCATAGTCCTAGTTGTAACTGTTGAGAAATACTATACTATTGGGAGAATCGTATGCTGATGGATTCTACATTTAGGTATTACAAAGGGTTAGATAATTTGTTCACACTTAGTAGCCTAAAGGTCATTCTTATGTATGTATATATACCCCTCGCTCTTATCAGAATTAAAATAACATAATATTAGCATTTTATTTATATACATCTCTGTTAAAAGCTAGAAGGGTTCTTGTATTCTGTCTAACTTCAAGTTACAAGTCTATATATAGGTCTACAAAAGTAAACAATAATAAATAAAGAAACTACTCATCTCCCCAAGGCTTTAATTACTGAGGCTTGTGAGCTGCCCATTTAATTACTAAGGCTAGTGAGCTGCCCAAGACTTTTAATATTCCAACACTCCCCCTCAAGCTGGAGCGTATAAATCAAAAGCTCCCAGCTTGCTACAAAAGTATTCAATCCTAGGTCCACGGAGAGATTTGGTGAGAACATCAGCAAGTTGATCATTTGACCCAACAAATGTGGCAACAATGTCTCCGGATGCGACCTTCTCTCGTATAAAGTGGCAATCAACCTCAATATGTTTAGTCCTTTCATGGTAGACAGGATTAGACGCAATGTGGATCGCTGCTTGATTATCACAAATTAATTTCATAGGACCATGCTTATAGAAATTGAGTTCTGTAAGAAGTTGTTTAACCCAAATTAGCTCACATATTCCAAGTGCCATTGCTCGGTATTCAGCTTCTGCGCTTGAGCGTGCAACCACATCTTGTTTCTTACTTTTCCAAGAGACAAGATTACCTCCAAATAGAATATAATATCCTGATGTTGATCTCCTATACCAAGGACATCCAGCCCAATCTGCATCTGTATAGCCAACAATTTCTGTATGTCCATGATCTTTATAGAGCAACCCTGTAACTGGAGACCTTTTCACATATCTCAATATTCTGACGGCTGCATCCCAATGACTTTGACATGGCTCTTGCAAAAATTGGCTAACTACACTTACAGCAAAGGAGATGTCTGGTCGAGTGATAGTCAAGTACAATAGCTTGCCATCCGATACTTACTTGAATTGGATAGGAGCTCCCCCTGTCTTGGAAGAAGTTTGACATTTGGATCCATGGGTGTGTCAACTGGTTTGCAATTTGTCATTCCTGTTTCTTCAAGAATATCCAAAACATATTTTCGTTGAGACACATAGATACCTTGTTTGGATTGAGCAACTTCAATACCAAGAAAATATTTCAATTTTCCAAGATCCTTTGTCTCGAAATGTTGAAACAAATGTTTCTTAAGCTGATTTATTCCTTCACTATCATTCCCTGTAATGACAATATCATCAACATAAACCACAAGATATATACTTTTTCCAAGTAGATGTTTATAGAAAACAGAATGGTCAGCCTTGCTTTGAATCATGCCAAATTGTTGGATCACATCTCTAAATCTCCCAAACCAGGCACGTGGAGATTGCTTCAACCCATAGAGAGAGCGCTTAAGACGACAAACAAGATTAGCTCCTGTTTTAGCCACAAATCCAGGTGGCTGCTCTATATACACTTCCTCATTCAGATCCCCATGTAAGAAGGCATTCTTTATATCCAACTGATACAATGGCCAGTGATGGTTGGCTGCCATTGAGAGTAAGAGGCGGATAGAAGTGATCTTGGCCACCGGTGAGAAGGTATCCGTGTAGTCAATGCCAAAAACCTGTGTGTATCCTTTAGCCACAAGTCGAGCTTTGAGTCTATCAACTTGTCCATCTGGACCAACCTTCACATTATACACCCATCTACAACCAACCACAGTTTTACCAGGAGGTAAAGGTACTAACTCCCAAGTCCCGGAAGAATGTAGTGCATTCATTTCATCAACCATTGCTTGGGTCCACCCTGGATTAGTTAATGCCTCCTTGACATTGTTTGGAACAAAAGCAGTTGACAAACTAGCAATGAAGGCACAATATGATGGAGACAGACGTTTTTGTGAAAGGAAATTATAGATAGGGTAAGGATTTCGAGTGGATCTTTTACCTACCCGACTGGCAATGGGAGAGTCTGTCGTGGTGTTTTGGGCAGCATCATTGGGTAACAATGATGTAGAACATGACTCAACTGGATGTCTATCCTCTTGGGAATCTTGACGATTGCGTCGTTGGTAGGTGTACAACAACGGTGGAATATGTCCTTCCTCTTGAATGGTTGGAGTTGGAATAGTTCTTTCAGGAATAGGTATGGTCCTTTCAGAAAAATATGAGAAAATCACCATATAATCGCAGAAAAGGGACAAATTGAGTTGGAAAATTTTGTCGGAAAAGGGATGATGAACAGTCACCACTATTCATCGGCTGTAGGTGTTTGAGAGAAATTTCAGGCCCCAAAAAAAGAGGCTCTGATACCATGTTAAAAGCTAGAAAGGGTTCTTGTATTCTAACTTCAAGTTACAAGTCTATATATAGGTCTACAAAAGTAAACAATAATAAATAAAGAAACTACTCATCTCCCCAAGGCTTTAATTACTGAGGCTTGTGAGCTGCCCATTTAATTACTAAGGCTAGTGAGCTGCCCAAGACTTTTAATATTCCAACAATCTCTTTCAACAAAGTATATATATCTTTCATTGCAATGATGCTCTCAAGCATGAAAATTGGCTTACACCCAATAATGTTAGAAAGTTGTGTAGTTCGGCTTCCATTTGCCCAGCTTACAGTCATAGACATAATGTTCTAATGGGCTTTCATTAACTGATTGATGAAGCATTTATGTTGTGTGACTCTTAATTGATAATTTTGAGCTGTTTCCCTATGTACATTTGGTAACTAGCAAAGCTGGAATACCACATTTTCTGGGAATTAAAAAAAAAAACAAAAAAAACAAAAAAACAAAAAAACAAAAAAAAAAACAAAAAAAACAAAAAAAAAAAAACAAAACAAAATCAGAAGCAAACTTCTTCAGAAGCACAATAGTTGGGTGGTGGGGGGGGGGGGGGGGTGGAACTTTTTAAAAAATCAGTGAGGGAATTCAGATAACAAGATGTCTTGCATGTTGAATAATTTTTCTAGACTCAAAATTGGGTAGGATAAGCATAAATACAAACAATGCGATCAGATCATTTTAGACAAGGGAAAGAAAATTAAAAAAGATAGAACCCAAACACATCTAGTCACAGTCAATAATTTGTTTACTTCACTAGAAATATATAGTGTTTACAGAAACTTGATTGGAATAAGCAGATTCTAAATAAGAGGACATCTAGGAATTTTGTCATGCAAGTGATGGAAATATTTCATGTCAGAATTGTCAAACAAATCAGGAACAAATTATCAATAGCCATAAAATTGTTATGAAGTTGTTAAATCCACCACTGAATGATTCATATTTGGCAAAACCATCATTGTTTTATCCTTTGAAATGGGGGGAGATCAATGGATGTGAAATTACCAATTTCAATAGAAACAAGAAAAATGAAATTGAAACATCAATGATATTTTAGCAAATGAAGAATTTCCAATAAAGGGAAAATCATTGTTTTGGTCCCTCAATTATTTTGCAACTGTCAATTTAGTCCCTAATTTTCAATTTGGTCGAATTGACCCTCCAATTGTTTTAAATTTCGTCAATTAAATCCCCTAGCCATTCTTTTGGTAACTAACGGCTGACTGATGGAATAGTGGCTAGGGGACTTAATTGACGAAATTTAAAACAATTGGAGGGGTAAATTCGACCAAATTAAAATTAGGGACTAAATTGACAGTTGCAAAACAATTGAGGGATCAAAACAGTGATTTTCCCTCCAATAAAATAAGGTCAAAGTTTGTGCTGAAGAAAATACCAGATCATATGCATCATATCCATCACATTTGGAAGCTACATCCGTCAAGACATCATGGGAACATTGTAAAGAACGCTTATTAATTTCATGTCTCAGTAAGGCCTCACGTTCTGTTGCAGCAGGAGCCAGAAGTTTGATGTGAAAATCGAATCTCCCTGAGTTTATGAAAAGTCAGTCTTACAATTATGAAAATGATATTAAAAACAAACCCGCTCAGGGTCCCAATATACTAAATGTATTGGACCACTAGATAAGGTCTCTAAGTTATGAATTCCATGTTTCAGTAAGGCCGACACAAGCCAAAAGTTTGACATGACAACCAAATCTCCCTGAGTTAATCAAAAGTCAAACTCTTGCAATTAAGAGATTAAAAATGGTTATAAAACAAACTCAGGGTCTTAAAGTTCTGAATGTATTGGGATCACCTGACAATGTCTCAACCTTACAAACATAGTTCACTTACCAGAAGAGCTCAATGTTTGTGGGATACTAGTCAAGGTCTGCACGGAAGCTACAAATGCAACAGGCCCAATTCCACATGTGTTTGCTCGCTTTTCCTTTTTGATTTACACAAGTAAATTCTATTAGTTCAAAGGATGTGATGCAGAGACTGTTGAGAAAGAAACAAAGTCTCAATTTATAATGGGCATATTTATCATTATTATGTTTAAAGCATTTTATCATTATTACTTTTATTATTATATTATTATATTATTATATTACTATCAATATGACTACTAGGGATAATCACTTAGATTTAGGCTAGTAACACTTCGATTCCTTCCTGCTTCAATAGTTACACCTGAACGCTGAACCCCCTAAATTTTCATTCTTTTTTTTCACTTTAGTTCAAACTCCAAAGTACAAATTTATTTCCTATTATACCCCTAAAATTTTCATTACCTGATTTAAAGAAAGACTTTGTAAAGGCCTACTAGCCATAATCTCTGGGGATCTAAGTGAAATCTATTGTAATAATTATAATAAAAGAGAGTTTTGTAAACTCATTCTGATTGGTTGAGAAATGAGTGGTTAAGAAAATTTTAAAATTATTTAGAATTTTAATTTTAATTCTAATAAATTACTAATTCTATCCCTAAATTCTGTTTCTAACTTAATTTAATTTTCTCTTTTTCTTTTTGTACAAATTGTTGAAACACAAAAGTTGTGTCTGTAGAAATATAGCTGTTGAAGTTGTGTAGGGTTGTGTCTGTAGGATTGTGTCTCTTAGTCTGTATATATTTCTCTGTTGTCTCCCCATTGAGACAAGGAAGCAATAACAACTCTTTCTACATCTCTCTCAACATGGTATCAAGCCAACAATTTGAAAAATTTTGAAAATTTTTTCGGTGAACAGTAACAAGTACTGTTCATCCGAAACTATTTTCTCAGATTACTTCCTAAAGGTGTGCTCTTTTGTCAAAATAATACTACAACCTTCATCTCTAGTCTCCGGCGACCCCAACCCACCTTTTCCGGTCACCGGAACACCGCCCACGCGCCACCACGTCGCCGGCGCTCCGACACCACGCGCCGGCGCGTGAGGCCATTTCCGGCGAGGTTTTCCGGCGAAACTTCCCAGTCCGGCTCGTCGGCCCTCTGCAATTTCGTCTGTACCATCAGATTTCATTTTGGTCGCGATGTCTTCCGACAAAAATTCTTCGGGTATTTCTCCTGCCAATAATTTACCTACTTCTTCGAGCTCTGTTTATGTGCCTAATCTGTCTGGAAATCCGGTAATCACTTCTGAAAGATTATGTGGTTCTCAAAATTACCACTCTTGGTCGAATGCCGTAGAATTATGGTTTATGGGCCAAGGTGTTGTTGACCACTTGCAAAAAGGAGTGGATATGATACCGGAAAAAGGAAAGTCAGTTTGGCAAAGGTTAGATGCTCAACTTTGTAGTCTCCTTTGGCAGTCTCTTTCTCCACAATTGTTGCCTTTATTCCGGCCCTTTAAGACATGTGTCGAGGTGTGGAGTCAAGCTCAATCTCTGTACACTAATGATGTCTCTCAATTCTATAATGTTGTTGACAATTTGGTTAACTTGAAGAAAGATGGTATTGATATGGAAACTTTTCTTGGCAAAGCCCAAAGTTTGATTGCTGAGTTTGGTACACTCATGCCTATTGGTGGTACGCCCGCAGAGCAACTTACCCAACGAGAGAAATTCTTTGTAATACTTCTCTTAACCAAATTAGGTCCAGAATTTGAAAGCATCTGGAATCAAGTTCTTGGAAGCAACAAAGTCCCGGGGACCACCGAGTTGTTCAAACGGCTCTTGCAGGTCACCTCCATTCCAGGTACTCACACATCCACTACCGAACAATCTACTCTAGTCACACAAGGAGGTCGTGGACGAACTAACAATCGTGGTGGACAGAAAAGCACTAGAGTTTGTGATTATTGTAATAGAACTGGGCACACGCGAGATCAGTGTTGGAAACTTCATAGGAGACTGGTACGTACCCAAGCAAGTGTTGCTCAATCTCAACCTGGGGAACCACATTCTCGAACCATTTCAGCTGCTGAGTATGAAGAGTTTGTTCGATTTAAAGCCACTCCCAAAGCTTCTGGTTTAACTCCTGCAGCCCACACTGACGGAACTCATACTGCCCTTTATCACAATCTAGCCTGAGCGGACCATGGGTTATCGATTCAGGCGGCTCGAGCATATCTCTGGTAACTCATCTTTATTTTCTCATTTCACCAAGTCTAAGTCCCTTCCATCTATTGTTATCGGTAATGGGTCCAAGAGTACGGCTACTGCAATTGGAAAGGCTTCCCCCCTTCCTACTTTGCCTCTCTCTTCAATTTTTTATATACCTAACTATCCTTTCAATTTAATTTCTGTTCATCAACTTACAAAATCTTTGGACTGTACGGTCACTTTTTCTTCTAATTCTGTCATTATGCAGGACCGTCGTTCGGGGAAGATGATTGGTTCGAGGTATGAATCAGAAGGACTTAATCGATTATCTACCCCAAAACCTTCTACAGTTTGCACTGCTACCATTCCTCCTTCCCTTGCCCATGACCGACTAGGACATCCTAGCCTTAATAAATTACGGCGACTTGTCCCTAGTACATGCTCCAGCTTGAGGGGGAGTGTTGAAACACAAAAGTTGTGTCTGTAGAAATATAGCTGTTGAAGTTGTGTAGGGTTGTGTCTGTAGGATTGTGTCTCTTAGTCTGTATATATTTCTCTGTTGTCTCCCCATTGAGACAAGGAAGCAATAACAACTCTTTCTACATCTCTCTCAACACAAATAAAATTAACATATAAACAAATATTATTAAAAAACTCTAATTGAAATCTTTTAAATGACACCCATCTTGATATTTTTTTAAAAAAATTATTTAATTAACCTACACTTTCATTATGTCATAACTACATGTACATTAAGTTATTATTATATATTGACTTACTGCACATTCATTTCTATAGATCCATTAAGTTACTACTATAAAGTCTATAACATTTCCCTCCCTCTAATTTACAAAGTATATTCTCCTAAATTTTGCATCTTTTATTCACACGATGAGGTTTATTCAAACTTGCCAATATAAATACTTTAAACTACCATTTGTCACTAAGATACTTGAAAAAAAAAAAAAAAAAAAAAAAAAAAAAAAAAAAAAAAACAATGGAATAAGGTATAAAAATATTATAGTTAACACTATCTCTTTACTAAAAAATTCCTCCATGTATGATCAAGAAGAAAAAGATATACATGTTCACATTCAATATTATTTATTTAATCATTGTTAGAATCTAAGATTGGGCCGATGTCACTCAATTGGGTTGTAATGCACATGGGCCAAACCAAACTAAAAGATTGAATCCAATCACTTAGTTAATCTAACCCATAGCCTTATTTTCCGATGTGGGACTCTTAACAATCATAATAAGTTAATTATAAATATATTTGATAACCGCTCAGGGGTTACAGTAGTTTACTTTATAACTACTACTATTATCATCAATTCATCATTTTGAAAAATTAGGTTAGTAGTTTTAGTTTATTATTTCAAAATGCTGCTAGTAATGTTTAATTATTTCAGCTATAAAACAAGAACATTGTTTACATAATGCAACTTACTAGCTAGGTGCACCATGGCATACCAAATTACTACTGCAATACACATGCCACACACACACACACTTTTTACCTCATATTCATCCATGATATCAGCAAAGAATTGTACAAGGGCAGTGGATGAGGATGAAGGTTGAGAACCATCTGATTCAGAGGAGGATGCAATAATGCTGTCAAGATCATCAAATATTATGATTGATGGAGCATGTTCCACGGCTTCTGATATGTATCTTATTAAGGCTTGACGAAGGGAAGAGGGTTTCTCCAAAGCAAGTTTAGAACAAGACACACAAACTCTGCAGAATGTATAAAACAAAAAGTATTCCAGTATCAGCAGAAGTAAATAAGAGAACAGAAGAAAACATGAGAGCAAGCATCTAAGTTTAAAAGAATGCAGCAGCAGCAGCAGCAACAATAAGCTGAGTTGCAGGAACAACACACACACACACACACACTTATTTTGGAGGAAAAATGAAAGGGGTGAAAAAGGTTCTACATGTGTGCCAGGATTTCTTCATTTTCTTCAAGAACTTTTGCAGCTACGGTAGCTAATAGCGTCTTCCCACAACCCTAAAACAAAACAGTATAATAAACAAAAATGCTCAAATTTCATGAATATTATATTGAAGAGTACCATTGTGAGAATAGGGAATTCAAGTAGGAAGTTCAATGACAGCAGTAATTTCCAACTCCATTGTGATCTTTTATATGCTGCTTATAAAGGTTCATATAACACTTTAAGCTAGTGATAAGTAGCAGAACAGGAAACCCTCCCCTAGGGATGGTGGGTGATGGACTTCTGACCACTCTTTATCCAGGTTCTCCTAATCTTATTCAATTTTCTTTATAATATATAATCCTTCCACTGATCTCAGCAATGAGCATATCAACAAAAGGCATGAACTCAAGCATGGTCAGGAATGTACAATAGTATAGATAATAATAATAATAATAATAATAACGTTGCTATTGTGATAACTGAGTAAACAAGGAATCTGACCTTACCGTCTACATTAAGACTCTAAACTCTTTTGGATATATTGACCAACAAACCACTAAACCAACACAATGAAAAGTGATGAGAAAAATTTATGTTGTGGGCAAGAATTGGAAGCCAATAGGAGATATATGGAATAACACACCAGCTGAAGTGATTGTAAAGGTTCTTTTCCTAACCAAAATTAAAAACATAACACTCCAAGAAACTCACAGGAGGACCATGAATTAGAATATGTCCTGGCAGAGGAAGATCATATGTACTAAACAGCATCCCAGAAGTAGGAGATAATAAAACTGTCAATCCTGCAAAATATTGTATAAAGTCAAATGAGAAAAATAAAGCAGATAGTAACCATCTTGGATATCAGAAATATTTCACAATGCATACAAAATCAGAAATCAAGCACATATATTCAGAACTTGAATATGATTTGGCATTGTTAGTGTGGTTTGAAAGGAAATGCATTTCTATTACTTCTTTTATTTAACGAAACCAAATTCCAGCAATTAATACTTTTTCACACTACATGAGAAAATGATAAATGACAATGAAGTCACCACTGGCTAACAAATGAATTTGTCAGAGATATTTGGGAAAGATATGGAAGACTGAGATTTTCATTAAAAGGAAATTTGTCTACATAATGCATAAAATTTAGAAAGTAGAAAGCCAGAGCTCTGTATGAATGTATGAAACCTTTTGTCCTTTGGAGATAGCAATAAGAATTACAGAGCAGGACCATCCAAAAGCAATAAAGGTGAAAAATCTATGGACTACCAATGAGCTTAATTGTACTTCCAAAATCTGAATTATATGACATCAGTATTCTAAACTAGTTGTTCATCACTTCTAGAGAAAGTTAACAGTCCAAGGCCCAAGGGCACATTGAACAACAAAAATGGGGAGAATACCTACTGGTAATCACATCAGAGGCAGCAGTACCCATCCAATTCAATGATGAAACTGTCATATTGGGGTCTTTTGCTGATAAACTCTCAGCAGTAGTCTGAAAAGAGAACCCATCACTCAATTGCAACTTTCCAAGTAACACTTCCATGTGTCTGTGTCTCATAGTAGTAGAGATGTCATTTCCTTCATCAAATACAAGTTGATATGCAACAGCCTTTTCAGCAGGTGCAGATTTGTCAATAATAGACAAAACATAAAAGAGATCTACTGATTGCTCTCCAATTCCATCTTTGCTTCCCAAAGGAACAGAATTTTGTGTTTGTACTTTTCCATGTTTTATCAATCTATTGCCAGGAACTTTTATGTGAAGTAATGTTTTATTCCCTAAAATCAATGAATTGACTCCTAACCCTGCCAGTGATGTAGTAGCATCAATTTGAGCCAGAAACCATGCACGAAGGACATTAGTTATTCCCTTCATATTCTTGTACTTGGTTTCCTTGTTCTTGTTGCTTGGAGATTCATAAGAATAACTCATAGCTATTTTCTCATGTACTGACCAATCAATCACACCCATGTTAGTGTGTGAGTTGGTCCTCACTTTGTGGTTCTTCCTGTTGGCCAAAACTTCAGCTTCATTGCTTCCAAAATCCCCATCCTCCTCAATCATTTTAAATTGGCAGGGTGAAATTGAGACAAAAGGGATCTCTTTCTGTAAGTTAAAGTTGGATATCTTCACAAATACCCCTGGAAGCAAATAACAACATTGTTTACCAGCAATGCATTTCCATTACATAAAAGAAAGAGACATTGTCAATGTCAGAACATAAAATACTCTATTACTCTTCCTCCCCTGCCACCCATTTGGTTGGACAATAGTTTGAGGAATAATAGAAAGACTCAATCTCTAGAATCGACCAATGTTTAGCTTAGGAATAATATGACCAGCTTGAATAACAAAGTGGTCTTCTTGTCATATGTTAAACTCAATGTGTGTGTGTATTGTATCCATGCATAGAGCTATACAAGAGGACCTATTTATATAAACTAGTGAGCCATCCCAGCCACATGATTTTTGAAATTTGAAAACTCAGATGAACTCTCAACAATCCCCTTGACTTTCTCTAACATCATCTTTCTGGTATATGGCCGCAAGGATTCTACCAATGGAACCCCTGATAAAGTATCACAGAGAGATTGCAGAGATATGTTAGACTTAGTATCTCTTTTCCCTTTCTAAAGAATCTCTAGTTCTCAAAATATGCAATTTGTTTCCATTCTAATTCATAAAAGCCTGATTTCTCGTAAGAAATAAAAAGATGAAAAGTTAGATATGCTAATTGAGAAAAGGAGTGTCATAAAATAGGACGCATGAAGTAAATTTGATGCTCCATATGACAAGAATTTGTTAAAAGAAAAACCTACATGAGTGTACTGATGCTCTCAAATAAAGTCGAAGAGGCAATGGAAGCATAACATGTCCTTTAGCAACTGATTTTGAAAATAATACACGAACTACAGCTTCATTGTCATCCTCATTGTAACTATGCACTCCACCATCTACTTCCTTTGGTTTTGCACTGGTTTTTTCTTTATCTGTTTGATTACCCGTTTTGCTCTCTTTGGGTAGTGATCTGGCCATTATTACCACCACCTCAAGAGAATGAAAAGAATACAGATTAGCTGTCTCTGGATGAATCAAGATAGCAGAAGTAAGAGTCACTTCCATCTCATCACCACAGCCTTCATATTTGTGAATACATTGCTCAGCTGGATCTTGGACTCTCAGTAGTGCCTTTGTGATGGAAATCTCATCAGAAGCTATTGATGACTCTTCTTCAGAACTCAAATTTCTTTTCCGTCTCTTTGGGGCAATTGCAACTTCACTTCCTGGGACAAGTTGTACTGAGACCACTTCACAAGTCAGAAAGTTTGGAAATAAACTTTCAAAAGCAAACAACTAATAAGAAATCTGGCTCCTGAGTGTTTGATTAAAAGTTTTTTAAAAGAAACTTAAGGTTCAAAATGAACATGAAATTCAAGAACATGAACATGCAATATATAAAAAGAAACAAGCAAGAATGTTAACCAAATTGGAAATTAGGCAAATTCTAGGGAAACCAAGCTTGGTAATCCCAGGACAACAATATACTTTACCTAAAAATAAGACTAACCACACTAAGCATATTTGGAGGGGAAAAAAACAAATCTAAACCAGTGCAAGTTAATGACAACTATAGTTAAACCTTTTGTTAGAAGGTTGTTAGGAAATAACTCTCAGCTACTCATTTGGAAATTCAAATGAGTGGATGAGTCCTGCTATAAGTATGTATATATAGGCTCCTTTGTACAGCTTGTAGATCATCAGCTTTCGTAGTAAACACTTCTATATACACATTTCTACACCTTTAAAACGTGGTCATTTTACACCAGGTTTGAAACATCAATACAATTGTAGCCAACCTTTTACCATGACCCAAAGAAGATTCAACCTGCTTCATCCTCTTCATATGTTGATCCACCTTGGAACTAATATTTTTCAAGATTCTGTTGGGCAAATGTGGATCTCCTTCAAGCAAAATAACAATAGGGTTGATACTACTATATATCGTTATTAGAGGTCATAATCCTTGTATAGTTGTATCCATAGATGTGAGACTAAAGTCACATAATTTAACCTCTAATCATACAACTTGAGTTCCATACAATTAACTCCTAACCATAGAATTGTGATTCATAACCCCTCTATATAAGATTGTGTTTAGAAACCTATATGCAAAAAAAAAAAAAAAAAAAAGGTTATCTTGACCTCTTAAGTTGCAACGTGAGTTCAACTTGATGCAAAATAAATAAATAATACTCCGTAATTAATACGTATAGATATGCTTATAATATTTAGTTTAATACTCCGTCTTTATATTTATATTTATTAGAAAAAATTAAAAATAATATTCCCTCTATTCCACTTTGTATGCCCAGCCCTATATACTATTTATTAGTCAAACCAATCCTTATTTTTTCATTTAGTTGGACTTTTCTGACTATCCATATCATGCATCCATTTTGGAATGGATGGAGTATTATGTGTAACATTGTGTCTTCCAAAGCCATCCCACACTTTTATCTTCCAGACGCACCTAATATTCTTTTGTAGTTTCAAGTTAGGCAGAGTGTTTGTCTTAATTCAAGCTAAGAACTTCTACGTATTCCAACTTGAGGGGGGAGTTTTGAATAATAGAAAATCTTAGTCCTATTCCTAGTTGGAGTGGACTTGGTTTCATAATCCTAGTAAGAGTGGCTTAGCTCAATGTTCCTATAAATATAAGATCTCTAATTCTCTTTACTACAAAAACACAGAGAAACAATCTATTGCAATCTATCATTATTAATAGAATACTATATTCTCACTTTCGTTAGTCTCTCACATATTTTGCCTTCACCTAATTGGTGGGTGATGGCTATTCAAGTATTCGTCACCCGCCAGCCTTTCAATCCCTCATTTTCAACAACTGAAAGTTTAAACTAATTACATATAGCAAGGCAAGTTGAACGATACACAGGTGGTGGTTTAAAATCCAACCCAACTTGTAGCTACCATTAGTGAAAATTTTAACACAAGTTGTCACCCAAAAAACCAAACCCACACTAGGCTAATGTGGGTAAATACTCAAGTCAAATCGCAATTACCATTCCTATATTAGATCCAATTTTGGTCTACTGTGACTATTTGAGCTATTAAAAACAAGTTTCTTTCTGAATTTGTTGACATGATAGAAGCACAATATAATTGGAAGCATTAAGTACAAAGAGATGAATGACACTAGAATACAACACATGCCAATGACAACCAACAACTATGCAGAAACTTAAAATGAAACTCTCACTCTACAAGTTATTCTATCCAAAAAGGCTTTATTGCATATCGGATAGGTTCAATTAAGAAAATGGATAAAATTGCACAGATGTTTCAAATCTTGGCATGAGATTACCAAATTTAAAGAGTTTGGTTATAATCATCACAACATCCAGAGATTTGGATGCTTTTCACCAGTAGGGAAATCAGAATTATGTAGACAGATGTTAAGCACTAACTGCTTAGGGCCAGTCGAGAAAGAATGTCATGACATTATAGTAAAACAATAACCATAAACTAAGATATGCATCAATCAAACTTTTTATGATATCAACACAGCAAAAATGATGTAACTTCATCAATTCAAAGAAAATCAAGAAGCTATCTAGAAAATTTAGCACAATTAAGAATGCTGCCGCCGAAAACGAACTAGGAAACGGAGATCATCTTACCTACCGGTGTCTTTGGAGAGGTAGAGGAAACAAAAAATTTTATAACACTTTGCCCATGTAGCCACAAAGGGAATCTCATTCCTTCATAGACAATACTGAGCTGCATTACAAAATAACCAACTTAAAACACAATATTTAAAATTAAAGGACTTCTCTCTTTAAAGCGGTAAGACAAAAAGACTACTTTATAGACCAACTCCATAGTATTTACAAGCATAAATAGAAATATGTGCTTTTTCTTGACATACATGTATAAATATAAGATTACAATCAAGCATGTTAATCCTAAAACAGCCAAATGTGTTTCTTTTAAATGTAAACCATAAACATCATAATCTCAACATATGAATATACTCTTTAAGAATATTAGAAGCAAGAATGTTAATCCTAAAATAACCAAGTGTGTTCCAATAAATTTAAAGTGTCATCATCATAAACTCAATGCATAGATTTACCAAAACTTCATATATTTATCAAAACGCAATGTGAAGTATATTCATCTTGAAGAACTTTGTAGTACAAGGGAGAGTGAAGATAGTGTTGATTATATTGTACAGTTCTGTTCCTCACTTGCTCCTTGATTAGTGATTCTCTAACATGGTGTTCAATTTGTGGAATAAGCTAGTATAGAATAGCATTCTACAAAATAGAATTCCATAGAATTGGCTATTCTCTTTGAAATTGGAATAGTCAATTCCACAGCGCCCCTAGTATTAGGTCTATAAATTCTAAATAACTTTTGGATAACTAACTTTTCATAAGACAAAAAATACCCCTTTAGATGTATACACACATACACACAACTCATACACATATATTATATATACACGTGCATATATGTACACATATATACATACATATACAGAATATGTACATAAATACATGCATGCAAGCCTGCGCACATATATATACTTATTATTTATTTACATGTTTGCACCCAAAAAAATTTATATATTTACATGTATTATACTATTTTGGGCTTGGGAACTTGTTTCATTTGACTGTATATTCCTTTTTCTATTCTTTTAACAAAACATTTAAATATAATTCCTTCTTTACTTCCTTCAACCAACCAAACAATGCTATAGTGTTTCTATTCTCTTTCTCCTCTATTCCATTGCTTCTGAGATTTATTCCCTCTATATTTATTCTGTGAAACAAGCATCACGTAAATATCTATAAATATCTTATACTTCCCCAATCATGCCAAAATGATCCATCATATTAGCAGCAGGTGGGAACATATATATTAGTACTATAACAAAATCCACCAAAACATTTTAGCTAAAAGAGTCCAAACTAATATAGTACTGGTGGTTTAAGTTGTGGCCCTTATTTTTAAATTTTTCATCGATTCAGTTGGTTTTCCAGATTGCACCAAATTACAAAAATATAAATAACATAAGTTTTCAGTACTTTTCATACACTATGCTACAAATAGATTCACTTTTCTTGAATGTTATATGAGCTATAAATACATTTAAAAATATTTTTATCTCTATCATTTTTTGCACCCATCTCCATCTGTTACGACATCAGTTGACACATCTCTTGTATTATGTCAAGTGTTCATCTTCACTTCACAACTAACACACTTGCTAGCAACTGGCAACTACGATGCACAGAAGCTCTTAGGGAGGAGCATTTCTACATTTCAGACAACATTTCCACATTGGAAACTCACTAGAAACTTCCACAAAACATTTCAAGGCCATTTCCATAATTAAAAAAGTTAGAATGCATGTTTCCTAAAACAAAATGTGTTCCAAGGGCATAATTTAAAAAATAAATAAAAGGTTAAAGAACGCAAGTTGTTGTTCCTTTCTTCAACCTCTATACACCCCTATATTTTGTATAGTGTATATACCCCTAGATACTCTTATAGTATATTACTTTTAATTATGAAATTAGAAGACAATTAATATTTATGCATATCTTTTTTAAAAAAAAATACTTAAAAATAAACCTCTATATTTTTTATATTTGTACGTTTTCCCTTCATTTTTTAAACTTGTCATTTCCCCTGCCCTATTTTCCACTTCTCGTTACCATGCTATCTAAAGTAGCAATGTTCTATAATAATGTCCCATGACAGATTTCACTCTTCATCCCCCACCCCCTCTCACAGCAAACCCCCTTCTCTTCCTTTCTAATTTATGATTTCCTGGTTTTCATTATTTCTTCAATAGAATCTAGTTCTTCTATCTACTCCCTTGGCCATTTTCCCTCTCTAACTTTCGGGCCCATTAAAATTATTTCACAATACCCTGACACTGAAATTGTTAGGAGTCATTGAGTAGGTTTTTTAAAAAAATTGCTAAATTAAGGTTTGTATATAACACACAAATTAACACAAAGTTATGTTATTGCATGGAGCTTGGCAAATCTACTCTATACCATCCAACAACCCTGATTTACACCAGAAAATAGAATTCTTAAACAATTCCGTTATAATTAATGAAATAGCTCCTAAAAGTAGCACCAATTCTTTCATCCCAGAAAAATCCATCAGACCTGTTAAAGGAATTTTACAATGATCCACAGGACATTGAAAAACTACTTTGCAATCTTTATACCAATTTTCTTATCAAATTAGCTCTCTAAACAGAAAAAGGGATCTTTTGCATGAGTTCTACACTACCCATAGATGAAGATCAACATACTTAAGTTGTTAGTTGTCAACACCTATGATCTACTTAAAGCAAAACACCTTATTTATGAGAACATAATGTAGCATTAGGATCAGCTACAAAATTCACTAAACTCTTCTTAACACCACATGGGAGATGGCATGGGATACAGAAAGTTACGGTGAACATCAAATTCATTGACCAACTTTCCAATTCTCACACCAAAAACATTTTGTTTTAGGAATTTTGGCTAACACATGTAATCTTACATCTACGCCTCTATTCAACTTCAAAATCTTTTTTTTTTTACAAACAATTGAACTAATATCATTTTCAAAGTTTAAAAGCAAAAGGAGAGTGAGATCTCATGGTGGAACTTGCTTTTGTCTTTTATTGTGTCAAGGCTTGAATCAGTAGCAACTACTTAACCAATGTATATGTATAAATAAAAGGTAAGGTAAAATCAGACTTCATAATCTGCAATGGATATACCAAATTCACATTGAAAGAATCCAACTTCATATTTAACATTAACAAATAATCAAGTAGAAACAGAAAGTGAGGCGTAATTAACAAGATATGAAATAAGCAATACATAAGAATTCAATTTCTTATATAAAACAAAAACACAAACAACCAAACGACTTAAAGCACAGAATCTGCTAGATAAAAAATCACGTCTAGAAGACCAAAAAAAAAAAAAAAAACAAATTATATTGACCTGCTTTAGAATAGCTTGCTCTGCAAGCTCGGAATTAAGCTCCATAACCTCCCAATCATCCTCAGTGTCCGGCTCTATGGTAACCATACTCGCCTTCGGCAAATTGGAAACAACTCGAACTTCAACAACCGTCCCGTCCGACAACCCGATACACTCCGCATATTGCTGAGCAATCTTCGTCAATTGATTGAAACGTAAGTTAGGAACAGAAGGAGTAATAAATAAATAAATAAATAAATAAAAAGATCCTGCGCGGGCGGGAATTGAAATTGGTACCTGGATAGAGGAAGCTGAAGGAGGGGAAGAGGCTGAGCCCGACCAAGCGACGTGCCAGAGGTTGTTGTGGGAAGAGCGGAGCTGGAGAGCAAGAATCGGAGGAAGGTAGCCGGAGCCGGCGGTGGACGCTAAGGTATTTATAAAAGTAATCGGAAGCGAAACGAAGCAGCTCTCGATTCCGGCGGCTACTCTCACGTCAAACTCCATTCCACTCTATCTTTGCAGTTGCTCGGCGGTATGCTTGTATCAGGGAGTCATAGATATTTGACAATCCCGAGGACGTGATCCCTTTACTTCTCGATTGACTTAGATTGAAAGACTTCATTGAAAATGAATTCTAAAAAAATATTTGTTTTATAGTGTTTGGTTGTATTTTAGAGGAGTGTTTTGATTTGTTTGGTTTATTTTTTAAAAAATGAGTAGAATTGTATAATTAAATATTTTATTTAAAATATAAAAATATTTATAATAATATTAAAAATAATATTTATTAAAATTTTTTAAAAAATGATGGTTTCCGGCAAAAACTAGTCCGTCAAAAATTAGAGTCTTGGTCTAGAAGCCTTCATCGTTGTTCGTCAATGTAGCAGCCTTGGTCTGGAAGCCTTCATCGTCGTTCGTTGATGTAGCCTTGGTCTGAAAAATGACTTCCACCAAAATTTGGTAAAAGTCACGTTCTGTCAAAATGTAAAGATTTTCCTCCGTCAACGGAAAATATTTTTCGTTGACTGAATTTTTCAAACGCATCCAAACACTGGAAATTAATAAATTTTTAAAATTAATATTTTTTTAGTTTAACATTCTTTTTTTTTTTAGTGCTACCGACTCTATTACAATTCTTATTTAATTAATTTCATAAACAATAAATAATTTTTTTTGTCCTATATTTATAAGTATCAGTTTATTTTTAGTCCTTATTTTAAAAAACATCGTCTTGTGTTCCTAAATCATAGTATTACTGTAGCATGACCATTTTTTGTCATCCGTCAACAAAACTATTTAAATGGCATTTTGATTTATTCAGTTCTAAGTGTTAATTCCTTTTTTTTCTTAGATTTATATGTGTCGTTTCACTTTTAGTCACCTTTTTTTCACAATATTATCGTTAGTCCTAATATTATTGTGGCATTACTATTTTTGTCATACGCCAATAAATATGTTTAAATGTCATTAAAAATGACGTTATTAACTACTCAAAATCTTCATTTTTTCTTCTTGGTAATAGAACTGTTGGTTTTACGGCTTTGGGTAACCGTTCGGTAGGCCAACACTTAGGGTTTTGAGATTGTATTAAGGAATGTCAAAAGAGAGACAGAATAACGAGGTGTTATTAAATAAAATTCTGACCCTTTTACACTATGACCCCCGTCAGGGTATTTATACAAGGAGATAAACTCTCTACAAGGTAAGTAGGGAAAAAGGTAGAGCCGAATCAGCTATAGAATCTACCATAATTAATGAGGTAACTACTCAAACTGAAAAAAGGAAGCTACTTGCTGGACAAGGAAAGGAATCTCCGTTGAATCCGCTACTAACCTTTCTGGGCGCGCACTCGGTCGGGGACGCACCGGCTGCTTGGCGAGGTAACCCGGCTAGGGAGGCTGAGGTACCCATGCAAGGACACGCCGACTGTTGAGCCTGGTCGCCCAGCCGAGCCCTCTAGAGAGCCCAGTTGGGGACACACCGACTACTAAGCTAGCCAGTCCCTGAGCAGATGCACATCCGCCCCGCGACCTAGTCTCCCGTGTGCTTCGTGTTGCGGCGGCTACAACATAGGTCTTTTCTCACAAACTGACAAGTACTCCGACATACTCGAGCTCGACTGCCTTTTCCTGCTCCCAGGTTGAGTGCTCGATTTGGGGTATCTATCACCAATCCTTCACTTTTTTGGGTCTAGCTGAGCGAGGACCCGAAAAAGTAGAAAAATAACTAAGGGTGCAGTGGGAAGGCTTGACTGCCTTGATACCGCTCCACTTCGGGACATTTAAATACTTAGCCGGGAGCGCTCACTCTTGCCGACTGGTCCCGCTTCCAACCTAACTGCTTTTGCGAAGTGGTACGGTCGCTGATATGCAATTATGACAACCCCTCAATTCTCGTCGGTTGCAATCTCGATGCGTGTCTTTCCATAACCGTCTTGTCAGACGTTACGCCCGTTCCCCAACCGTTCGATCAAGGACACGTGGCGTAATCGGGTCAGCCGACCATATCTATATATACCCAAGCCATTCCCTCCCCCCCCCCCCCCCCCCTCTCTTCTTCCGCACTCTTCACTTCTCTCCTTCAACTCTCCGGTGAACTCTCCTTCCTCATAACCCCAAACTTCTCCCTCCGACGCCCCGCGTCCTTCTTTTCCGAACCATTTTCTCCGGCCGGCATCTTTTAAGGTCATCCTTCCTTCTCCTTTCTTTCTTGCCTGTTTTCTCCTGTTTCTGCCCTTGTCTTCTTCGGAGTCTCCTTCCTCCGCCGTCGGTGGCCGTCAGAGCCATACTTCTAACCCTCCAGCCGCCACTTCTTTACCGGCAACGGCCCAAGGTCCTACCTCTTGGCTCCGGTGAATCCTACCATCGACCGAGAGTCGGGCCAATTCGAGGACCTAGAGTGTCCAGTTGGCTGCCGCTCCACTTTGCGTGAGGTTGCGTAGAGGCATGGAATCGGGTTCTCCGTCGGGTACAAGTACAATTGAAATTCATACATTTGAGTTGATTGACTAAGTCAAACAACTAGAGTTGGTCAAAGAAATTAAAATTTGGTTGTTAAGCCATTTTCCAAACACCTCATAATATCAAGAAGGAATAAGGGTATATTTGGAAACTCATAAAATGATTTATGGAAATCATTTTCCCGGATTTTGGGTGTTTGGCTATGCTAGAAAATGAAGAGAAGTCAATGGAAAATGAGCCCAAATTTTTGGAAAATGGCTTCCCCTTTTTTTGGGGGGAAGTCATTTTCCATCTTCTCCATATACTTGCTTCACTTCAGCTCCGCCTCCTCCTTCAAAGCAGAGAGAACTCCACCAAAAATGTTTTCGGCGAAAACCAGACCACTGGTTTCCGCCGGAAACATTAAAAAAAAAAAAAAAAAACGAGAACGAGATGAAGGGAAACCAGAGAGAAGTTCTCTCTGGTTTCTTCGGTCTTCTTCTTTTTTAATTTTTTTTTTAAAATTTTTAATAATTAATATTATTTGATTTAAAAAAATAAATATTATTATAATTTTTTTATTTTAAACAAAATAATTAATTATATAAAATGTTTAATTATACAATTCTATCTCATTTTCCAGAAAATGAACCAAACACACAAAGACTGTTTTCTGCCGTGTTGCCAAACACAAGAAAGGAAAATGTTTTCCGGAAAATGACTCATTTTTCAGAAAACATTTTCCAGAAGTCATTTTTCTGTTTTTTTCAAACGGACCCTAGGGTTTAATAGGCCATCCAACTATACATCAAGCTGCAATTAAGTCACTAAACTCAAAAAAAACTACAATTGAGTCATTGAACAACGCAAATTCATGCAATTTAACATAAATAACTTGTTTACCTACTAATTATGCAGACGTATTGGTCAATGAATATAAAAATAATTTTTTAAATTTTATTTTAATAATTTTAAAATAATTTAAAAAAAAAAAAAACATGCCGGAGACGAAGGGGTCCGGCTCCGTCCATCCAGGAAACGAAAGGGACCCCTTCTTCTTCGGCTGTTTTTTTTTTTTAAATTAAAATTATTATTTTATTAAAAATTAGTAAAATAAAATTTTAAAAATTATTTTTAAATTAGGTGACCGATACGTTTTTTTTTTTTGGTGAAGAGGTGACCGATACGTTAGCATAATTAATAGGTAAACAAATCATTTTATAGTTAAATTGCATGAATTTGTATTGTTCAAAGACCTGATTATAATTTTTTTATCTTTTTTTGAGTTCAGTGGCCTAATTGGTGTAGTTGGACAACCTATTTGACATTGTTCCAGACTATTGTTTTTGCCATTTAACATTCCTAGACTATAATTTTTTGGACACTTTTAGTCATTCTCATGATTTTTTCTATTTTTAGTAAGGGCATTTTTGTCTCTTCATATTTTTCTTTTATTATTTTTCCGGTTTCAACCGGTTTATAACTTTAGGTAACCTCTGATTTTTAGTAATAATATTTTTCAACCGGTTTTTAGTAAAGTCCTAAACCAATTAAACCGGTTAGAATAAGAAAAAATAACAAAAGAAAAATATGAAGAGACCAAAATGTCCTTACTAAAAATAGAAAAAGTCATAAGAAAGACTAAAAGTGTCGAAAAAATAATAATCTAGAGATGTTAAATGGCAAAAATGATTCTCTCTAGTGGAATTAACTCTAATCATTTTCTTTGAAAACAATAATAAAAGCCTTATATTTAGGATCACATACATACATTTCATAATCTTAGTTTACATGATTGAGAATTCTTCCTGAAGACCGTCTATTTCCCCCTTAAAACTATGTTGCTGGATTATCAAAACAGAAGTGGCGACCGAGTAATCGGAAGCCGAAAGAATATCTCCTATCAAACCTAGCTCCGGGCACTCTTCCCAGTCATTCATCCCCACCGTCAACACAGAATTCACTCTCCCCCCTCGCCCCACTATGAACAGCTCGTATTGCCCTTCTAGAGACCTCAACGTCGAAAATGTCTGCCCCGAATTCACCAGATACTTCTCCCTGTACGCCACGCGCCCACCGGCCACGTGCCGATCATAGAACTTCGCGAAGCACTCGTCGTCCAGCTTCATCTCTTCCTGGTGCTCCGCGGTGTTGGCCTTCGCTTTGCTGATTCTCGCCGCCACGCTGTCCTCGCCGGCCTCCAGGAGGAACCGTATCACCGTGAGTTTCACTCCGGGGTGTCTCGCCACGCGCCCCACGTAGGACAGAGCCTCCCTGTCGTCTTTCCCGCCGATGAAGATCACAGCGGCGTTCAGGCAAATGCTGGTGGTCGATATCGTTATGGCTCCCAGCCCCCGGTCCACTAGGATCCCCACGGAACACGGCGCGTGTCGGAGCACCTTCCGGTTGACGTGGCGGAACCCGGAGTTTCCGGTGTCTAGCTTCCCGTCCGGCGTCCGGTTTTTGTGGAACGGCATAACCACCAAGTGGACCATTAGATCCTCGGCGAGAATGCAGACATCCTGGTGCATACTATTCAAGGTGGAGAGAGCCATCATTTGTTTAACGTTAATCCCCTCGCTCCGCTCCGGAACGTAAGCCTGAACCGAGCTGTTGATTTCCTCTCTCAGCCGAACCACCTCCGGGTCCGCCACCGTCGCCACGCCGTCCACCGCCCCTTGGTCGTTGCCGCTAGCCATCGTGGCCGCCACCCTGTCCGTCAACTCAATCATCTCCGTCAGATATATCATGATCCCGGGGTCCACCGGGCCGCGTGAGATCTCGATGAAGTTGATTGCGCAAGAAACGTTCTGTTTGCCTCGCAGACAAAGCAGGACTCGCAGCTCGTCGGATGCACTGAGCAATTGGAGTGCCATTCTTTGCGACGGCGAACGCTTCCTCGCCCAGCTAATGATCTTTGCCACAACTAACGGGGTGTAGACTATTGTCAAAAAAGTCATAAACACCACTGGAAGCCCAACCGACTCCGGAATCACACTCAAACCCAACTTCTTCATAGGAGGAAAAGTTGATTTGACCTGAAAATAGTTCATTGGACATAAAATAAGATGATGGATAATTAAGTATCATAGCTAACTATACTTGGAAGTTTGGAAGTTATTCATATTTTAGTCCCTACTCCCTATAGGGTATTTTAGAGATTTTAAATTAAATTTGAATCATAAGCCTATTTTATAGGTTTTAAATTAAATTTGATTGTTTTTTTTTTAAGTGCATTTTGGTGTTAGGAATACATAAATATATATATATATATATATATATATATATATATATATATATATATATATATTTTAATGATAATGTGTAACATTAGAAATAGAAATTAAACTCAAAATTTTCATATAATATATTTATTACAAATCAAATTCAATTAGTGTTGCAAAATTCTCTAAATGTCAAAGAATAAGGAGACTTCAACACAATACGAGTTTAGAGATGACATAATGCTGATTTCGTCAAGCATTATGGGTGTATATCAATAGTGTCGTTCCATTAAAAATAGAGGTCATGTCCATTTATAGACACAAGAAACATAATATCAAAAGACCTATGAAAAATAACAATAGAAGATCTATATAACTGGGGTAATTGAGTCCAAATCTATTTGAACTTAATGTTATTGTATTCTATAATAAAAATAAAAATAGAATAAAAATTTTTGTCCAAATATAATGCATAAAAATTCAACAAAGAAAAAAAATACAATACAAATTTTATTTAAAATGACATTTTAGTGCATATTCAAATAAAATATTATTTATCAAAATTTCAATGTAAGTCTTTTAATTTCTTTTTTCAATTACAATTAAGACTAATTCATGAATTCTAAAAACTATTTATCAAGTATAAAAATAATGAATATATATATATATACACACATGGTTGCAATAGGCGCTAGGCGCTAGTCGGGCGGTAGAGTAGCGCCTAGCGCCTAGACGGTCTAGGCGGCTAACTGAAAAAATGAAAAGCAGTGCACGTGCGTAGGTGCATATATGTCATATTATAAATACATACATACATACATACATACATACATACATACATACATAGGCGGGCGCCTAGGCGGCCGGTCTCCTAAGCGGGAGCCTAGGGGGGAAATCGCCACGGCCTAGGGGCGCCTAGCGCCTAGGCGGGATTTTTGCAACCCTATATATATATATATATATATATATATATATATATATATATATATATATATATATATATATATATATAATATTTTTTTAAAAGTTGAGCCCTCAAAAATTTGAGGCCCTGTGCAGTCCCCTGGTCAGACATGGCCAGGCCAGCCCTACACATCAATAAGAGTTACTCAACTACAACAACATAAGTTGAGTAGCACCACAAGCTTGAAGATAGTAAGACCTTGAGAGCATAAAAAGTTACATGTAGTAGATCGAAGTCTATGACACAACAAGAGTTGGAAAGTGATGTAGGGTGATTATGTCAAAATCAGTAAGGCTTCCCGACAGTAAGACATTTAAGGAACAACATAAGTTAACTCGCAGTAGAAATCCTCAACGAGTAAAAGTTTTGGTAAAAGTAAGATTTTGCTAACACCTAACAGTAAGGGTTCAGGGTACAAGTCTAGCCACGTTAAGCAGTAAGAGTTAAACACAAAAAGCTAGAGTTATTGATAACTAGACTTATAAGCTAAGAACCTAATAAGCAATAGGAGATTTGATTCACAAACATTATCTATTCTAATAGGATAGGAGATATCGTTACTATTAAGAGTAGATGTTGGCACAAGTATCATGAAGGATACTTACCAAAACAAGCAAGTTGCATTGGGAAGAGCAATAGTTGAATTTCTAGAACATGTTACATACAATTGTTGAACAAAAGTCTACACTTGTTAAATCTAGCTTGCATATTATTTTATTAGCAAGTTGGCAATTCGAATTTGTTTATCTCCAATAGACAAATTTGATATCAAGCTATAAATATGGAGAATGCTTAAGATGAAAGTATGAAATACATAAGATACCAAACCAAAAATAGTTTCAAACATTCTAAGTTCTTCACTCGATAACATCTAGTCATCGAAGAGACTTTAAGAGTTTCAAGAAGATCAAGATCCTCAATAAGCCTCATTTTAGTTAGAGAATTTTCAACCTTGTGATGAAGTTTTGTAGATCTTTACACAATTTGTAGATAGAGGTTGAGTAGTAAGCTTTAAGAGTTTTGTGAAAATCTAAGCAAACAATGCTGACTTGTGATCAAAATACTTCTTTTGCTTTCACTTGTAAATTGTTGGGTAAACAAATTTACTATTAAAAAACCTCCTGGATGACATATAGGAGAAGAATTGAATACAGAAATTACACCATTCTCGAAGAACTAAAAAGTTCTAATGTTTATACTTTACACTGTTAACTTTTACTACCTTATATTGCTTATTACTTACTAACTTTTTGAAAAATAATTGTTCTGTGTGGTACTGGAAAAAAAAAAAGAAAAAAAAAACCTTGACTATTAGTTAAATCTTTAATATAATATTTATTGATCGTGTTAAAATGTAAACTTAATTAGTCACATCTTAAATGGATATATACAAAAAAAAATAAAATAAAAAATTTAAAGTTTAATTTAAAAGTTTATTCAATCTCCATCCCTCCCTTCCCTTTCCCTCTTCTCTAGACTTTTCATCACAATTGAAAACATTAAGGTGCGCTTGAAAACTCAGAAAATAATTTCAAGAAATCATTTTTTAGGTTTCCAGTGTGTGGCAATAGGGGAGAAAATGAGGTCGATGGAAAATGATGTCTTAGTCAAATGAAAAGATGTATGTGTTTTAGGAAAATGACTTCCCCTTTTTTTGGGGAGAAGTCATTTCAACCACGCCTCTTCCCTCCTTACAGATCACACCTCTTCTTCCTCTTCTGCTCTCACCTCACCAACTACTACTTCTTCTTCTTCATTTTCTTGCCATCTTCTTAGCACCAGATATGTTTCTTCCTTTTTTCTTTTTTTTTTCAATCATAATTTTTTATGACTATTTTTTTTCCAGATCTGACCATCTAAAATGGCTTTCTAGTCGGAAACTTCCGAAAATCAGTCTTGCTGACTGGTTTTTACAAGATCTTTTGTTTGCAGAAATATTAGTGGCGAATTTTATTTTGTGTATTTTTTGTTTGTGAATTTCTCCCCTATTTTGTTTGTGAATTCTAATGGTTTAATGTTGAAGATAACAATTAAAATATTGAAGTATACAACTATGCTCATTTTCTAAAAAATGAACCAAACACACAAAGACTATTTTCTGCTGTGCAGCCAAGAAAAATATTTTCTGAAAAATGACTTATTTTTCAGAAAATATTTTCCTACTTCCGAAGCAGGTCCTTAATTGCTAATTAAAAACTATGTTGCACAGAAAAAAATTAAATGGAGAAATAATTTTAAAAATTATTAGAAACGAAACATGAGGAAAATATAACTATACATTTGCAAATATTTTTTCTTAATATGCATAAATAATAATTATCTCATAATTAAAAATATTAAACTAATAAATGAAAGCAGTGCACAAAATCACTATTAAATAGTTAAATAGTAAATACCAATTATCACACAATTAATTTAAAATAAAAATACAATATTTAAACTCCAAAATAGTTTTAAACTTAAACAATTAAATATTTCAAGTGTTTATATTTTCTTTAACATCATCATCACAACATATATATATATATATATATATATATATATATATATATATATATATATATATATATATATATATATATATATATATATATATATATATATATAGAGAGAGAGAGAGAGAGAGAGAGAGAGAGAGGGGAAGGGATCAGGTGCGGGGAGGGCTTTCCGTGCGGTTGTGCGGGTGGACGCACATTAAGTATCAAATTGACGCATTTTAAGTACACAACACACGCACATTAATAACCACACAAACAAAACACCTTAAAAACACAAACACATGTACCTTAAGCACAAAACTCACGCACCTTAAGCACAAACATCACGCACCTTAAGCACAAAACTCACTCACCTTAAGCACAAAACACACGCACCTTAAAGTTTCTACAACTACTCACATTAAGCACAAACTCACGCACCTTAAGCACAAGACTCACGCACCTTAAGTACAAGACTCATGCACCTTAAGTACAAAACTCACGCTCCTTAAGCACAAAACTGATACACCTTAAGTTTCAACAACTACTCACATTAAGTACACACCCACGGACCTTAAGCACAAAACTCACGCACCTTAAAACCGCACAAGACTCACTCACCTTAAGCACAAGACTCACGCACCTTAAAACCGCACAAGCGCACGGGAAACATTCACCCGCACGAGAACTTATATATATATATATATATATATATATATATATATATATATATATATATATATATATATATATTAAGTTCATCTAAATCTAAATTGGCAAACTAAAAGATGACAATATCTCTATGGTCACCAATTCATATCAACATTGTTTTATACATAGGTAATAGGGTTAATGGGCAACCCACTTGCTCTATGAAGCTCACTTCATGTTTAAATGACATTAAAATGACATTATTAACCACTCAAAATCCTCCATTTTTTTATTCTTGGTAATAGAACCACAATTCTTGTGGAAAGTAGACTTAAAGCACTAGGCTCATGGTTTGCCATTTAGTAGATTTGTGGTTTTTTTAATTGCACTTTTTTAGATTTTGAAGTAGATTTATGTATTGATAACATATTTATTACCAAGAAGAAAAAAAAAGAAGGATTTTGAGACTTTAATAACGTCATTTTTAATGTCATTTAAACATATTTGTTGATGAAGGACAAAAAAGGCCATACCACAATAATGCTAGTATAGGACCAACGATGATGTCTTAAAAAAAGAACTGAAAGTCGAATGACAACTATAAATCTAGGACCCAAAAAAGAAAAGTGACTTGACACTTAGAACTGAATATATCAAAATGCCTTTGTATTTAACGCCAGTTAAATGATTTTGTTAACATATGATAAAAAATGTTCACGCCACAATAAAACTAGGACCAAATGATGGTGTTTTGAAAAAAAAAAGTACTAAAAGTGGACTAATACCTATAAATCTAGGATACAAAATGAAATTAACTATTGAAACATGTTTATGAATTTTTAATTAAGGGTCCATTTGAAAACCCGTAAAATGACTTCTAGAGATCATTTTTCAGATTTTCTTGTATTTGGGTATTCAAAGAAAATAAAGTCAAAGAAAAATATTAATTATAGTCAATGAAAAAGAAAAAAAATAAAGAGATCCCATTTGATGGAAAATATCTTCCTAGATTTTTAGTCGGAAGGCATTTTCTATATTCTTAATTTTTCCGTATTTATCTTCTCTCTCATCTCTCATCTCTCATCTCTGTTATAGTTTCAAGATTATTATTACTACCACCACACCCCACCACTACACCAACACCAACACCATCACCATCACCACCACCACTACTACTACCAACACCACCACCACCACAATCACCGTACCACTACCACCACCACCACCCACCACTCCACAATCACCACTACCACCACCACCACAACACCACAACCAAAACTACCACCACCACCATTCACTACCACATCACCACAACCACTTATTATTATTATTATTATTATTATTATTATTATTATTAAAAATAATATGTTTATTTTCAAGAAAATGAACCAAACAAAAAAAGTATAATTTCTTAATTTTTAACTAAATATAAAAAAGTTTTCTGACCTTTCGCCAAACATTAAAAAACTAATAATTTTTTCAAAAAATGAGTCTTTTTTATGAAAGTCATTTTCTAAAAAATATTTTTCAAATTTTCAACACATACCCTAATTAGAAAATTAGAAAATAAGAAAATAGTATAAAACTTGTTCGAAACTTGTGTGATTAATAATGAAATTCCACAAAAACGTTTTCAAATAATTTTGTGTGAATCCCAAAGACGAAACATTTCCTAATTAAACAAGGAAACACTACCCTCATAAATATTTGGGCAACATAGATCAAAATTAAATCAAACTATAGGTTTTATTAGATATAATAAAGAGATTAAAACTTGTAAAAATAAAAAGAAAAGAGAAGAAGTAGCAGGAAGAAAAGCTTACAACTAAGCCGACAACACCCAAGAAGACTTGAAAATGGCCCTTGGTATTGAGAAGCAAACCAATTGCAACGGATTCCGGCCAATGAAACCCAAGCATCACTCCCGACACCAATGATCCGACAACTTTTCCGACAGTCGTTATCACGAACAAGCACACAACGTTAATCCACGTGTTCCAATGAGCAACCCCAAATTTGTTGACGTGTGCGGAACTCCCTACCCAGAGGAAAAACAAAGGGTAAAAAATGGTGGTAAAAACATAGTTAACCTTGGTGATCATCATCCTGGATATCCTCCCATCTCTGGGCATGAAAAGCCCCGCCAGAAACGCCGACAAAACCTTATTAAACTCCCCGAAGTACGGCGAAGTGCTGCACACCAACACCACGAAGGCTATGGTGATCACCAGGTGGGACCCTTTCATGGACTTCCCCTCCGGGTTCTCGTGGTTCACCCAGTTCATCACCACCGGCGCCGCCCTCTTCGCCAGTGCCGTCTGGAGCACCAGCGTCGTCGCCATTTTCGCCACGCTCCTCGGGTTGCGGTTCTGGAAGTTCTCGAACGGGTCGAACGCTATGTACCCTAAGGAGATGAGGATAGTGGAAACGACGTCGGAGTGGACCCCGGCCGCCACCACGAACCGCCCGATGTCAGACTTGCCGATCTTTAGATCGGTTATGATGCGGGTGAGCAGAGGAGAGGCCGTGCCGGACAGCACGAGGCAGAGCCCGATGTTGATCATCATGTCCGAGGACATCTTCAGGGACGGGACCAGAAAGTTGGCCAGTATGAAGGTGGCCAGCACCCCGGAATAGGCAACCTTAGTCTCCGGGAGGTGTAAGTGTTGAAATATGTTGGGATCTATTTCTAGTCCCACCACAAACATGTGACATATCATTATAACATCCACAATGTAGCTTAATGTGTCTTTAATATCCTTCTCGTCTAAATACTTTCGTACGGTCCGGATATTGCTCAGAAACAACCCTACCTGCACTATTAACGAACAAGCTAAGTTGTTCAATTTGAAGAATAGCTATAAATAATTCAACATTTCTCTATTATATATTCTATGTAAATAAATTATAAAGAGGGGATATAATATAATATAATGGAAAGAAGATTTGACGTACCACGGCTTCAGAAATGATGCGAGGTTGAGAAATAGGACGCAAGAGAAAGTGAACAAAGTTGCACAAAACCATGGCGACGAAGAACCCTAACGCGTAAACGGCTATGGACGCCATTTTAACTGTCATCGCCGTCTGGCACCGCGCCTCCTCCGCCGCGTTGTTTTTTAGAAAATCCATTATTTCTTAGCTGATTTCCGATATGATTCCTAAAAGCCGGAGGAATTGGGATTTCTTTTCTATTTCTTTGACAGAAGAATGAGAGTTGTCCGGAAGGAGAAAATGGTTTTCTTTTTTGCTACTGTGTGTGAAAGGGAGAGAGAGAAATTCAATTCCCTGAGGAATCGAAGGTCAAATTTTGTATGACCACGTGGAGTAAGGTGACCCATTTTACTCCTAATTACTTGGAGGAGCTGTTGGAAGCTAAGGGACACAAAAACCTTGCATCTCTCTCTATGTATATATAGAGAGATAGGTACTTGAATGGTGCTTTTAGAGTTAAACTATAAATTAAATAGTTTTTTTTTTCTTTTTTTCTTTTACATTTAAGCCATGTTTGGTAAAATGACTGTTAGCTGATTGGGTTAATTAGAGGGTATAAATAGTTGATAACATTAGCTGATTGTAGAAAAATGTTTGGTAAATTAGCTGTTAGCTGATAACTGTTTGATATAATTTTTTTTCTTCTCAAAAAGCTAATTGAAAAAGTTACTTGGAGTAGCTTTTGAATTTTAGCATTTTGGAGTTGCAAAAAGTTAATTAACCAAACATTTATATTGATATTTTAACTAAATCAAACAATTAATAGTGGTCAAATAAGTCAAAATTGACCTATAGATCAGACCAATTTTTTACCAAACAGGACCATAATGTCAAAATTGACCTATAGATCTGACTTAAGGCCGATCGCTCTTTGTAACGTGGTGTACAAAGTGCTAGCCAAAATGTTGGCTAATAGGCTAAAGGGGAATTTGGGACACGTAGTGTCGCTTTCTCAAAGTGCCTTCGTCCCCGATCGTTTATTGACTGATAATATTATAGCAGCGGGGGAAATCAGTCATTTTTTGAGAAGGAAGACTAGTGGGATGGTGGGTTGGGCGGCGCTAAAGCGTACGACCGTATGGAATGGAGTTTCCTAGAAGGTATGTTGGGGGCTTTGGGTTTAGATCAAGAGTGGGTGGATTTGCTTATGTCGTGTGTCTCGTCGGTGAGTTATTCCATCCAGGTCAATTGGGAGGTTGTTGGTACTGTTGACCCTACCCGTGGTATAAGACAAGGAGATCCGTTATCTCCTTATCTGTTCATCATTTGCGCCGAGGCCTTGTCTCTTTTATTACAGAAAGCGGAAGCTAGTGGGGCTATTCATGGAGTAAGGGTAGCCCGGGGTGCCCCGACTGTGTCTCACTTGTTTTTCGCTAACGACAGTCTTTTATTCTTCAGGGCGAACCACCAGGAAGCCATGACAATAAAAGAGTACTTGGATTTATACAACGCAGTATCAGGACAATTAATCAACTATGACAAGTCCAGTGCGGTTTTTAGTTTGAATACTACTCCTGACCAGCGTACGGTGGTTTCCGCATGCATAGGGGTATGCGAGGCAAGTGATCTTGGGAAATATCTGGGTTTACCGTCGGTGCTAGGGCGAAACAAAACTGCAACGTTTCGCTATGTTGAGGAGAAGGTCCAGGAGCGCATCGACTCGTGGCAACACAGATTTCTTTCTAAAGCAGGTAAAGGGGTGCTACTCAAAAGCATTGCGCAAGCTTTGCCGATTTTTACGATGTCTACCTTTTTATTGTCGGTACGTGTGTGTGCGACCATTGAAAAGTTATTTAATCGTTATTGGTGGGGAGGAGGTGGCGTAGGAACTAGGGGGATTCATTGGTTGAGCTGGAACCGGCTGTGCAACCCGAAGTCCAAGGGCGGTCTGGGTTTTCGTAAGTTGCATGAGTTTAACGTGGCGTTGCTTGCCAAGCAAGGGTGGCGGCTTATGATCCATCCAGAGTCGTTGGTTAGTAGAATGTTAAAGGCAAAATATTTTCCCAAATGTGACTTTATGGAAGCATCAGCAGGGAATAATCCCAGCTACATATGGCGTAGCATTTTGGCAAGACAAGAGGTGCTGAAATTGGGTGTAGCCCGTCGACTCGGTGATGGTAGAAATACTCGTATCTGGGGCTGGGGATGGCTAGCTGACACTTCAAACCCAAATCTTATAACTCCTTACACCGAGCATTTGAAAGACGCCATGGTACACGGACTCTTTGACGACCGAGGCCATTAGGACGAAGAGATTGTGAGGAATATTTTCCACAAGGAATATGTAAAGAGAATCTTAGCGACGCCAGTGAACATTCATTTTAAGGACACTTGGAGGTGGCCAGGTGATTTGTGGGGTTTGTATTCGGTGAAGCATGGTTACCGTTTGATTACAGAGACAAACGATGAAACGGATGTTGGTAATTGTTTTCACTCATGGAACAGGTTGTGGTCTTTGCCAGTACCTCGGAAAGTCAGGAGCTTCATGTGGCGGTGCGCTCGCGGTATCTTACCGATAAAGGAGAACCTGCAAATTAAGAGGGTGTGGGTAGGTGGGGGTTGCCCGTTATGTAACTCACCGGCGGAGACAACTGAACATCTATTTTGCGGGTGTACCTACGCCAGAGGTCTATGGAGGGAGGAGGACGTTCTACAAGGCCAGAGCTTACAGCAATTCATGGAGGCGCAAATGAGCTCGGCAAACGGCGAGCAAGCAGTGATGATGGCAGTGATCTTCTGGACTTTCTGGATGGCTAGAAACCATAGCGTGTGGAGGCAGATCACTCCCGCGGTAGAGAGCATGCGAGTTCAACTTGACAGGTTGATGGCACTATGGAAGGAAAGCTACGTGAAAGGCGATAGACCAAGACGAGAGAGCAACGATCCGGATCTTTGGGAACCTCCACCGCATAACACGCTTAAATGTAATGTGGATGCAGCCATGTTTTCTTCTTCTGCAGGCTTTGGCGCTATCGTTTGTGACCATGAAGGTCATTTCGTGGCAGCACTTGTGGCAAACTCGTGTGCACCCAGGGCCCGTTTATGGCTGAGGTTCTAGCAGCCAAAGAAGCGCTAACGTGGCTTAAAGGACTACACTAGAATCATATTATTATTGAGTCCGATTGTTTAAATTTCTGTAATGCTTTTAATTCCCGTGTCGTAGATTATTCGTACGTAGGGTTGATTGTAAAGCAATGTTTATCAATTGCGTGTGACATAGGGAACGTTAGGATTCGCCATGTCAAGAGATCAGCGAATCAGGTGGCTCATAAATTAGCCCGGGCAACCGATTCTATGTCTGTCTCAAGTTCGTGGGCTGTTATCCCACCTACATGTATTGCTGGTTTATTAAGTTGTTAATGAAGCTATTTTGTTTGCTTTCAAAAAAATAGTGCACAGTTAAAAAAAAAAAAACAAAAACAAAATTACCTTTAAATGCTATTTAAACTCTAGAAACCTACTCTCAACTTTTACTCCACGTCTATTTAAATTTTATTGGAAGAAAAAAAGAAAGAATGAATAAAAATCATGATCCCCTTATATTAAGCAATCAAAAATGCCCAATCATAAGGAGAGTACATGTATCATGTCTGTAGAATTACTCATAAAAATATTTCTCTTTCTCTTGCACTTTACCTTTTCTTATCTTATCTTGGGACTAACTTTTATTATACTTGCATTGGGATCAATTTTACACATACACTCACTAACAAAACTACACAAATCTTTTTAATTTCTCTGCAAGGTCAAGACTTCTGTTGCAAGAAAATTTTTAATTTCCTTTTAACTTGTTTTAAAAAAATTTTAAAAGTTCATTCAACCCCATCCGATCCACTTCTAGACTTTTACTTGCCTAGGATCAAAACATCGATTTTTTGAAATATATATACATACTATGTCGGCTTTTTGAGAAACCAATTCCTCTTATTATTATTTTAAAATTTAATTACAAAAAAAAAAAAACATATTCAATTCACGGCGTTGGTTTTTAGAAACCCCATATCGTATATTTTTTCGAATCATACTAGGCTCCCCTCGAACTTTATCTCAAAAGTCAATTAGACTCTCAAACTTTTTAAAGTTACAATTAAACACGTCAACATCTCATTTTAGTGCAATTAAACTCAACAACCTATTAGTGACCTGATATCGCATGTCACTAGGCTTCAACAACTCTGTATTCCCGCAATATTCCCGACAACAAAGTGGTCGTCGTTAGCGTTTGAAGAAGCCGACCATTTGGATTTCCTTCTCAACCATTGAAGAACCCGACCATGGTTCACCTTCCCGTTCATCTTCAAGTACTAGCCTAGAAGCTCCTGCAACGATTCCCAATCTCTGATCTCGTGGCTATCCACCATATCTTCCATGGATTTCTTGAAGTCCGTGTACAGGTCGTCGGATTCCATGGCCATCACCACGCTCGCCGCGAATAGCGCCGGCACCTCTTCTCCCTTTTTTTCTTCTTCCAAATTTTCTTGATTTTCCGTTGGGTTTATTGCGATTGCCGCCACCGCCTTCGCTATGGAGGAGTTGGTGTCACCGCGGTCAAAGAATAGCCTGTCGGACCTCACTCCGATGATGATGATCCGCTCGTCGTCGGACTCCGTCGAGAAGTTGGCGGATTCCGAGGTGTTAGTGAACTAGGATTCCTAGGTCTCAAGGCCGTCGGAGGTGTCCAGGTAGACGGAGTTAACGGTCTTGAAGATGACATCTCTGGCTCTGGCTACGGCGCTCACGTTTGCCTCGAAAGACAAAGTCTTGGCGCGTCAATCATCTGGTGATCTGCTTTGTTCTTGAAAATCGAAGGGAGCTTCATCTTCTTGATAATTGGAAACAATGGAGAATTCCGTTTGAATCCTAGAGGATGTTTACGGGCGTGTTTGGTCTTGAGGGTAAACATAGAACGTCCACGTTGGTCGGAATGTCACTGGAAAGTTACCAAAATTCTAGTGACATGTGATAGCATGTGACAGGTTTTTGGGTTTAATTGTACCAAAATGAGATGTTAATGTGTTTAATTGCAGTTTTAAAATGTTTAAGGACTTAATTGACTTTTGAGGTAAAATTTGATGACTTATTTGACCATTTTCTCTATTTTTTAATTAGAACATGATATAGAATGTTTTCCACCAATAAAATGCTTTGATTATCATTATTGTTTTTTAGTTTACATGATTGAGAATTCTTCTTGAAGACCGTCTATTTCCCCCTTAAAACTATGTTGCTGGATTATCAAAACAGAAGTGGCGACCGAGTAATCGGAAGCCGAAAGAATATCTCCTATCAAACCTAGCTCCGGGCACTCTTCCCAGTCATTCATCCCCACCGTCAACACCGAGTTCACTCTCCCCCCTCGCCCCACTATGAACAGCTCGTACTGCCCTTCCAGAGACCTCAACGTCGAGAATGTCTGGCTAGAATTCACCAGATACTTCTCCCTGTACGCCACGCGCCCGCAGGAGACGTGCCGATCATAGAACTGCGCGAAGCACTCGTCGTCCAGCTTCATCTCTTCCTGGTGCTCGGCGGACTCGGCTTTGGCTTTGTTGATTCTCGACGTCACGCTATCCTCGCCGGCCTCCAGTAGGAACCGTATCACCGTGAGTTTCACTCCGGGATGTCTCGCCACGCGCCCCACGTAGGACAGAGCCTCCCTGTCGTCTTTTCCGCCGATGAAGATCACGGCGGCGTTCAGGGAAACGCTTGTCTTCGATATCGTTATGGCTCCCAGCCCCCGGTCCACTAGGATCCCCACGGAACACGGCGCGTGCCGGAGCACCTTGCGGTTGACGTGGCGGAAGCCGGAGTTGCCGGTGTCTAGCTTCCCGTCCGGCGTCCGGTTTTTGTGGAACGGCATAACCACCATGTGAACCATCAGGTCCTCGGCGAGAATGCAGATGTCCTAGTGAGTGACACATGTTTATATTAGGCACGATGTCTGATTCAATAACAACTTGTAATTATTTAGTGTAACCAAATTACACTTAATTTATACCATTTAATTAAGATCCTAATATACCTGGTGCATACTGTTTAAGGTGGACAGCGCCATCATTTGCTTAACGCTAATCCCGTCGCTGCACTCCGTAGAAATGTAATTCTGGACGGAGGTGTTGATTTCCTCTCTCATCCGGATTACCTCCGGGTCTGTCACCGTCACTGCATCCACCCCTCCTTGGTTGCTAGTTACCGTGGCCGCCACTCGGTCTGTCAACTCGATCATGTCGGCCAGGTATATCATGATCCCGGGATCTACCGGGCCGCGAGAGATCTCGATGAAGTTGATTGCGCAAGAAACGTTGTGTTTGCCTCGGAGACAAAGTAAGATTCGTAGCCCGTCGGATGCATTGAGCCATTGGAGTGCCATTCTTTGGGCAGGCGAACGTTTCCTCGCCCATCTAATGATCTTTGCCACAACCAACGGGGTGTAGACTATGGTCAAAAAAGTCATAAACACCACTGAAAGCCCAAGGGAACCCGGAATAATACCCAACTGCCATTTCAACACCAAATTAAATGTCAATGCATAATCACACAATTACATTTTACTTTGATCACTTAGACCATAGTATACTAACATTTGTTTAATGCCAAAAACCTAGCTCTCCCAAATGTGAGGTCACAAACTCATAGATTTGAATTTTAGTGGAGGCACCAACTCTTTGTAAAAAATAAAAATAAACAAATGCCAAAAACCTAGCTCTCCCAAATGTGAGGTCACAAACTCATAGATTTGAATTTTAGTGGAGGCACTAACTCTTTGTAAAAAATAAAAATAAATTTACGGGTTAAACTGAGTCAAATAATAAAAATCAAATCTGATATGGCTTACATCATAACAAGAGTACATTTTTTTTTGTTCAATATCTTAGTTTCATAATTATTATAATTATCATTTTATACATTTAATTTTATCATAATAAGTTACTGGTTAAAAATAAATTATTTACATTTTTTTATTATAATTATCATTGTTTTTTTGAACACATATAATTATCATTGTTAATCTTTATAACTATATAAATTATAATTTTATCTCTAACAACAAATATAAATTATAATTTTATTTTAATATAAAAATAATTATTATAATCATTAAAATATTTTAAATTTTATAAAAAAAATAACTTTATTATAGATTTATGTTCATATTTTTAAAAATTAACCTAATAGAATTTTTTTTTCTAATTTTCAATCAAACATACAAAATTGTTTTCTTACTTTAAGCAATTAAAACTCCAAAACATGAAAATATTTTTTAAAATAAATTATTATTATTATTATTATTATTATTATTATTATTATTATTATTATTATTATTATTATTATTATTATTATTATTATTATTATTTGTTTCCAAATCGACCATGTATAATACTTTTTTTTTTTTTTTTAAAATCAAATATTTAAATTCTCAACATTAATTAACCTAAATCAAATTTAGATAATTTGATCTGAAAATAGTTCATAGGACGTGGAATAAGATGATGGATTAGTATCATAACTTCAATTAGTTTGGTTTTTACTTTTTAATAATAAAAAGAGTTATGGATAAGAATCAAATTAACTACTGATTTGGAAGAAAAAATACAATTAGGTTAGTAAATTCAAAAATGCATTTAGATCATTGAACATTCTAAATTCATGCGTCTGGTCCAAATGACATGTTGTGGCCTAGGAATGCAGGTAAACTCTATATTACAGGGCGTTTGGTTGGAGGGAGTTTAAATTCCCTTCCTACTTAGGGTCTGTTTAGAAACTCGGAAAATGATTTCTGGAAATCATTTTCCGAATTTCTGGTGTTTGTGTAGGCGGAAAATGAAGTGGTCAAAAGAAAATGGTGGATAGTCAATGGAAAATGAGGGTTGATTTCCGGAAAATAACTTCCCTTTTTTTTTTTGGGAAGTCATTTTCCATCTTCTAAACACACACGCACAAACGCAGCAACCTTCCTCCTTCAACAACATTCAACAACACCATCATTCAACAACATTCACTAGTTTCCCCAGCTCTTTGGTTTCCGGCCGCAGAAACCAGAGAGCTCTCTGTTTTCCGCCTTTCCGGCCGGAAGCCAGAGAGAACGGCGGAAACCAGAGAGTTTCCGTCTTTTTTTTTTTGTGTTTTGTTATTTTTTTTTTAAATTTTTTTAATAAATAATATTATTTAATTTTATAAATAAATATTATTATTTATAATATTATTGTAAATTTTATATATTTTAAACAAAATAATTAATTATATAAAATGTTTAATTATACAATTCTACATCATTTTTAGAAAATGAGCCAAACACCAAAATCCAGTTTTTCATTTTGCAGCCAAACACCGGAAAGGAAAATGACTTTTGAAAAATGACTCATTTTTCAGAAGTCATTTTTCTCTTTTCCAAACGGACCCTTAATTCCAAAGGTCATAAAATTTCTTAGTTTGGTTGGAAGGAATTGCAATTAAAATTCCCAGTAATTCTATTCCCGTAAACCAAACACTGGAATTTAAATTCCCACTTTATTCCCAGTAATTCATCTCCCATGGAATTGCAATTCCTTTCCAACGTAATTCCTCCCTTCCAACCAAACACCATATTATTATTTTCTAAATAGTAAATAATTTAAAAAATATATATATAAAAAAAAAGATAAAAGAAAAAATTGAAGCCAGCCAACTAGTTGATTTCAATTGTCCAAAACCAATAGCTCTAGTTGAAGAGCGATGTCTCAATCAAAGACCATCAATCTCCAACTGGAGACGAGCACCCTTCGTGTCTAGCTGGAGATGAAGTGTTTTGTCTCCATTGTCTCCATCTATAGAGATAAAGTCCTCGATTCTAAAGATGGAGACGACGTATGCCGTCTTCAAATCTGGGCACAGTCTCGAGAGACTACCAATGATTATTTTATTTTATTTTACTTTAAAACATTTTAAATATGAAGTCTACCGACATTTCTAGGTCGCAACATGTCATTTGGGCTAATTGCATTATTTTAGAATGTCCACTAATTTAATTTTATTTTATTTTTTAAAAGTTCAGTGGTCTAATTGTATTTTTACGCAAAATTAATATCCCTTTTGATACTTCACTCGATCTTCTACATACTCATCCAAAGGGTATTTTAGAGATTTTAAATTAAATTTTGATTGATTTAAAAAAAAAAATTGTGCATTTAATTTGGGCAATTAAACTAAAAGTATTATTATATATATGGAAGGTATCAGGTGCATTTGAGGCTTCCCGTACGGTTGTGCGGATTGACGCACGTTAAGCATTAATCTGACACATTTAAAGTACACAACACATGCAAATTAAGCACACAAACAAAACATCTTCAGAACACAATCTCACGCATGTTAAGCACAAGCCTCACGCATGTTAAGCACAAAAATACACGCACCTTAAGCCCACAACTCAAGCACATTAAGCACAAAACTCACGCACCTTAAGCACACGACTCAGGCACATTAAGCACAAAACTCACGCACCTTAAGCACACGACTCAGGCACATTAAGCACAAAACTCACGCACCTTAAACACACGACTCAGGCACATTAAGCACAAAACTCACGCACATTAAGCATAAAACTCATACACTTTAAAATTTCAACAATAAGTCACATTAAGTACACACTCACACACATTAGACACAAGACTCACACACATTACGCACAAGACTCACGCACATTAAGTACAAAATTCACGGACATTAAACATTATACACTCACGCACATTAAGCACAAATCTCACGCACATTAAGCACAAGATTCACGCACATTAATCCACCACACAACCGCACGTGAAACATTTAAATGCACCTGAACGTGATCCATTATATATATATATTTATATATATATATATATATATATATATATATATATAATCAATATAATAGATTAAAATTTATAGCAACTCTTATAAAAATAAAACAGAAGAAGCAGTAGCAGGAAGAAAAGCTTACAATTGGGCCGTATACAGCCAAGAAGACTTGAAAATGGCCCTTCGTATTGAGAAGCAAACCAATTGCAACGGATTCCGGCCAATGAAACCCAAGCATCACTCCCGACACCAATGATCCGACAACTTTTCCGACAGTCGTTATCAAGAACAGGCACACTACGTTAACCCATGTCTGCCACCGATCAGCCCCAAATTTGGAGAGGTCTGCGGAAGTCCATACCCACAGGAAAAACAAAGGGTAAAAAATGGTGGTAAAAACATAGTTAACCTTACTGATCAACATCTTCGATATCCTCCCTTCCCTGGGCATGAAAAGCCCCGCCAGAAACGCAGACAGCACCTTATTAAACTCCCCGAAGTACGGCGAAGTGCTGCAAACCAACACCACGAAGGCTATGGCGATCACCAGGTGGGACCCCTTCATGGGCTTCCCCTCCGGGTTCTCGTGGTTCACCCAGTCCATCACCACACGCGCCGCCCTGGACGCCAGCACCGTCTGGAACACCAGCGTCGTCAGCATCTTCGCCACGCTCCTCGGGTCCCGGGTCTGGAATTTCTCCGTGGGGTCGAACACTAGGTAGCCCAGGGAGATGAGCAGGGTGGAGACGACGTCGGAGTGGACGCCGGCGGACACCACAAAGCGCCCGATGTCCGACTTGCCGATCTTTAGATCGGTTATGATGCGGGTCAGGAGAGGAGAGGCCGTGCCGGACAGCACAAGGCAAAGTCCGATGTTAACCATCATGTCGGAAGACATTTTCAGGTGCGGAGCCAGAAAGTTTGCTAGTACAAAGGTGGCCAGCACTCCAGAATAGGCAACCTTAGTCTCCCGGAGGTGTAAGTGTTGAAATATGTTGGGATCTATTTCTAGTCCCACCACAAACATGTGACATATCATTATTACATCCACAATGTAGTTTAAGGTTTGCTGGGTCTCCGTGTCATCTAATGAGTTTCGTATGCCCGGGATATTACTCAAAAACAACCCTACCTGCACTAGTAAATAACAACCCTACCTCAATCAACCTGGTTAATTAATGGAATCATACACATAAAGAAGGAAAGGAGTAATTTACAATGTTGGTGATAATCCATGAGTCTCAATGAACATTAATTTCATTTTGAAAGTGATGAAAAGTATAGCAACAATATTCATATTCATATTCATTTTAGGGTGGGTTTGTAAATTCAACATTTGTTTTAAAGACAAATTGATATAATGGAAAGATTTGAGGTACCATGGCTTCCGAAATGATGCGAGGTTGAGAAAAAGGGCGCAAGAGAAAGTGAACAAAGTTGCACAAAATCATGGCGAGGAAGAACCCTAATGCGTAAACGGCTATGGACGCCATTCTAACGGTCATCGCCGTCTGGCACCGCGCCTCTTCCGCTGCGTTGTTCTTTAGAAAATCCATTATTTCTGATTTCTGCTTTCTGCTTTCTGCTTTCTGGTATGTAATGTGTATATATATATATATATATATATATATATATATGATTCCTAAAATAAATACAAAGGAATTGGGATTTCTTTGACGACAAAAGAATGAAATGAAAGTTGGCAATTGAAGAAGGCCGGAGAAAATGCTTTTGCTACTGTCAGCGGAAAGAAAGAAATTAGATGAGGATTGAGGAAAGAGATTTATTATAGCTCAAAATTTTGATGACTTGGAGGACTTGTAGGAACGGACACAAAAATCTTGCATCAGGAACAGTACTTAATATTCTTTCTACAATGCCCCTATCTCTCTCTCTATATATAGAAGAGATAGGCACTTATCTATCTACAAATCCAAATCTAATAAGAGTGAATAATGTTAGGCCCTTAACTGGAACAAAAAAAAATGTTGGTACTAATTGTTTCTTAAAATGAATGGTTCATATTATTTTGATTTTAGTATCTTTTAATGATTTTCCTTATTTACCCTCTATTATATTATTTTCTTCCCTTAAATAATCCTAAATTCCGTTAGTTTAAACTTTAGTAACGGAATATTCCGTTAACTATTTATTATTCTTAACATACTCTTAATTTATATAAGGTCTTAGGTTTGAGCCTCATCCCAAGTATAGTTGACATAATTGTTAAACATATATTATGAATATATTAAAATGTATTAATATATATATATATATATATATATATATATATATATATATATATATATATAATTTAACATAAACTTTGGTCAAATAATTAGCTCGACTAAATACATAGCATTCAAAGTTGAACATCAGAGATTATAAATCAGGAACTACTTTAAAATCATTTGATTTTCTTGAATTTTTTATTTAAGAAAATTTTAGGTTATGTGTTTTTTTTTTTTTTGGTTTAATTAATCTTCTTCTGATTATTTAGAACAAAACTTAATATTTCAATTATGCTTTTGCATTATTGGAATGATTTAGACCATTATGGTATTAATATTTTTTGTACTTTTTTTTTTTTATAATGGTACAATTGTACATTACTTTTTACAAATATTCTACTATTATTTTTTTTATCAGACAAAATTGTTCTTACATCATTGTCAAACCTACGCGGCCTACTACAAAATTGTTGATCATAAATACAATTATACATGAACTCTAAAACGGTAGGATCATTTTTCAAATAATTGATAATGTTAACATCCTACGAGCTCCAAGTGAGCAAGTTTACACATCAAAATTTTATCAATGCATGAAAACTTCAAAAGAAATTTGTAAGTTAATTTTTACTATATCATTATATTAATATCTATTGTAACCATATATTTTGAATTATTTATTATCATCCTCTATTGACAGCAATTGTAGCAATTGTCATGGACAAACTCTCAAAACAATTTGTCTCAACAAGGAATGGAAATTAAAAAGAATCATTGATTTCATTATTCTTGAAGAAAAGTATGTACCACACTTATAACTCTTATTAATTAAATAAATTAGTAGCTACAATAAAAAATAATACATATGCATTTAATTAATTTAGAATTAGATGTCTATAATGCTTTATTTAAAAAAAATTATTCATTATAAAAAATTTTAAAGAAATATAATTTCATTAGTTATATTATCTTTATTTTCTACAATTCAAAGATTCCTTACCTTCAAATTTATTAATTTATTATATTCACTACATTGTTCATTGTCTTATTTTTTTCCATTATCTTGTAATTAAATATCAAAGTTATAATACAAAATATGTTATATATATATATATATATATATATATATATATATATATATATATATATATATATTTATTTATATATATATATATATATTTATTTATTTATTTACCAAGTATTTTATACAAATATAATAAATATTAATATTTTGTTCAATACTTTCACATGATAACCTACGGCACACATCTCACAACACATGAAACATGTAGGGAAAAAACTACCACTACTAAATACCAATATAGGTGTTTGTACGCTAAAGAGTTAATATTACAACTAAAATCTCAGTCATATACACAGCAAGGCAAATCTAAAACTTTCTACGCTATAATCTCATTGTATGATGAATCCCTCTATGCTGCTACCAGTAACCTAATTGCACATGACACACTACTGAAGATGAAAACAATAACAATGCTAACCAAAAGAGAATTAAGAAGAATTAGAGAAATTTAAATCAAAAGTAGTATTTATTTAGACTATCGCTTTAAGACTAAGTATTTAGACTAACGTTATTACAAAGTTGCAAACATTTATTTTAGTGACAATTATAATCAATCTCTCATATATTATCTTGCATTTATATACTTTAAATTACCGATTTAAATAAACAAATTCAACATTTATTTACCTATGCATGAACATCTCTTATATATTATTGCATTGATATACTTTGAAATAATTATTTAAAAATAATTATTGGGCATTATCCCATTCGCGCAAAGCGCGTACAAAAACTAGTTATATATATATATATATATATATATATATATATATATATATATATATATATATATATATATATATATATATATATATATGTTCAGGTTCTTGTGAGAACAGGTCTATTTTTTGACATTTCATTATGATGTATTCTCAAATACTGTATGGTGCATTTATGCATATCTAATGGTGTATGCCGCACTGACCGCACGGGAAAACCTGTTCTCATAGGAACCTGACCTTATATATATATATATATATATATATATATATATATATATATATATATATATATATATATATATATATATATATATATATATATATATATATATATATATATTCTTTTTAATTTTGGCCCTGTTTGGTGAATGACTGGTAATTCTTAGCTGATTGAGTTAATTAGAGGGTATAACTAGTTGATAACATTAGCTGATTGTAGAAATGTGTTTGGTAAATTAATTGTTAGCTGACAGCTGTTTCGTATAATTTCTTTTCTCAAAAAAATATTAATTTTTATTTTATTTTATTTTTTTTATCACAAAGCCACCACTTAGTTTGTAAAGATTTCACAAAGCTTCACTACACTTTCTACTCAACCTCTTTATACGCCTCGTGAAGAGATCTACAAACAATTGATCAACCCAATGTTGATTTTCTTTCAACATCATTCATATTTATAGCAAGATTTTGAATCTAGCCATTTGAGGGAAACAAATTCAAATCATCAACTTGCTAAAGAAATAATTTGTCAAGATTTGACAAGTGTATACTTTTGTCCAACTGTTACGTGAAACTTGTCCTTAAATTCCATCACTTATTCTTCCTAAAGTAGCTTTACTTGTTTGGCTAAGTATCATCCTTGCTAGTTGTGCCAACGTCTACTTTTAGCATAGATTTTGGTTGGGTCTTATGTGATGCATGGGGTTCATTTGTAGCTACTAAGGTGTGCTTTAAGAAGGGCGTCTTTACTGCTCGTGAGGTGGATGTAGTGGAGGTTAGGGAGGTTGCGTTCTTAGTTGACTTCAGGAGTTGCGCATGTATGTAATTGAGGTGAAAATGCACGCGTAACAAGTGGTGTATACCTTATGGGGTGATTCTAGGAACGATGCGTTTGGTTTGATGGTAGATAATGTAAAAAAAATTGATTATACTTTTGTTAGTTTGAACTTTGAATTTATCTTTTTGTTAAGTAGTTTGTGAATCCTGTGTTAGCTAGGGGGGACAATTTTTACGTTAAACTATAGGCAATGACATATCACTTCCCCTTTATTTCTTGAAAAATGGTTTGGGCAAGGATTATTAATATAACCAGTAATTCACCCGATGCACGGAAAAAATTATGTTATTATAAATATAAATAAAAAATAGAAAAATTAAAATATTTTAAATTATTTAATATAATAATATTTTTGAGTTTCCATTGGTCAAATATTTTTTATTTTTATAGAATACAAAATTATAATTAAAATTAAAATTTTGTATGGTTAATATAATCTATAATTATGTGCATATTCAAATAAACTTATAGAGATAATTTACATAATTACATTGATTTATTCTTAATTGTATTTCATCTATATTATAATTTTCACAATACAAATACGGAGTAATAACTAAGATAATTACATTTGGAAAGCAAATTTCAAATTTTGTATGTGTAAATTTAAACTCTAATTGAACATATTTTTTATATGATTATATAATATATAGCTATTTTATTTTTCAAAAGTATATTTTTTATATGATTATATAATATATAGCTATTTTATTTTTTAAATGTTGTGTTTTTTTTTTTTTTTTATAATAAAGGATGTTGTAGCATTAATTATTTTTCAAACCATATAGCTTTATTATATAAAGGATAATAATAATAATAATAATAGATTTCATTTTTTGCCAAAATTTAGAGCACGTGGTTGAAATCTTGCAAATTGAAAGCCGCAAGAATCCAAATCGTTGAGTGCGATAGAGAAAATCCCTTGTAACTACATTTTCTTCAAATCCGAAAATGGCAACCAACTCTTCACCAGCAACCACTCTCTCCCTCTCTCTCGCCCGATCAAAACCCACTTCTCCTTCTTCAACTACTTCTTTATCTTTCTCTAGCTCATTGTCCTTGAGCAGCAACCGGGCCGGGCTCAAGCTGGTTACCCGTCCCAGATCCGCTCCTACAAAGCGCTTTTCTTGCAATTGCTTGTTCGGGCTTGGGGTGCCGGAGCTTGTGGTCATCGCCGGCGTCACAACCCTCCTCTTCGGCCCTAAACAGTTGCCAGAAGTCGGCCGCACTATTGGCAAGACCTTCAAGAGCTTCCAACAGGTCAATTCTTTCTCTTTCCATCGACTCAATATGCAAATGTAATACTAAATCAAGAATAAAATGTTTCGGTCGAGTCAATATCCAAATGGAATACTAAATCAATAATAAAATGTTCCTTAGTTATAAAGGAAAATGTTATATTTTGGGCATTAGACCAATTAGAAAGGGAGTTGGAAAAGTTTAAACTTTTCAGTCTGAAGACCTAAAATTAGGCCATGTTTAGTAAATGACTGTTAGTTGATTGAGTTAATTAAATGATATAACTAGTTGATAACATTAGCTGATGGTAAAAAGATGTTTGGTAAATTAGTTGTTAGCTTATGACTGTTTGGTATAATTTCTTTTCTCAAAAAGCTAATTGAAAAAGTTGTTTGAACAGCTTTTTAAATTTTAGCATTTTGGAGTTACAAAAAGCTAATTAACCAAACACTTATATTGATTTTTTAACCAAGTCAAACAGCTAATAATGGTCAAATAAGTCAAAATTGGCCTATAGGCTAACTATTGGCCTTTAATGTAAAAGTGTACAAACAGCATCAAGCAATTTGGACCATTTACCCTGGCTCTGTTCTTTCAAATTTGAAGAATGGTATATTCTCAAGGATAGGGGTTTAGGCAATCAAAATATAAACTGTATGTTAATAGGTAAACCTGTGAGTTGCAAGCTTTAACTTCATCATCAGCTTTTTTATGATTACACATGAAAATCTGATTAGGAAATTTCTGATCAAGAGTACTTGTTTTAGTTCTTGGAGCCTTACTAGGTAGGTGTTTATGTGCAATCAAGAATTAGACTCCAAAAAGAATGCAATTTGTAGTTCAACAAGTGACTAACTTTACATTTGTGCTGAAGATTATCAATATATATATTGCAATTGCAGGCAGCAAAGGAATTTGAACTGGAGATGAAAAAGGACCCTGGTGCTCTAGCCGAGCCTGCTATAGAGGAACTAAAAGCTGTCAGTCAAGAAGAGAAGACGAGGGAGGCTTCCTAAACTACTATGACGATACATTCAATCATCTACTACTGCTACTAGGTTTGTTTTTGTACGTCGCATTTGATTTCTGAATATTGTTGATTGCTAAGCTAAGTTATAGTGTTTGAATTTCTTGGATGAGTTAGTATTTGGTAAGACTGCTAATAAGATCTTTATATGGGATTAGTTTGCCATAATTCTTTTCCTTACCACCTTACCCATTTTTCACAAGAAAATCAGCCTTGATTGTGTAGAAATATGGAATCGTTATAAAATGGCGAGAGAAGATAAAGTTTGGGGAAAACTTGAGTTGGTCCAAGAACAATATAATGAATTCTGAAATGCAGTGTTTTAGTGAAAGATTTGATCTTTTCACAGTAAAAGACTGAAAGTTTACACAACAGAGTCGGTGGATAGGGATAGGTATACTCGAGTTGGTAACAAAGTTGAGTAAAAGCATAAAGGTTACAACATATCATAAGGCTCTCACTTTATGTAGATAAAAACAACTTCATTTGTGTTCTTATGTTGAAAGAAGTGTCTTAAGTTAAACTGTATAGTGCTGCTGGATAGTTTCAATATCCAACCCCTTGAGCTTCACCACTGATTCCACATGACCTTTCAGTGTATTCAGCTCCCGAAGCCTGCAACAAGAAGTTCAAGAAACAATCTTTGTTAGTATCAGTGCTTATCACTATGCCAAAAACTATATATATATAGCTCACACCCATATTTTCGAGAGACAGTGTGCTGGACTTGGCCCTTCACCAGCCTCCGTTTAACAATTCCCCCTAGCCAGCAAATATTGGACTTGGCCCTTCGCTGGCCTCTGCCCAACAGATTAACTGAGTGTGGAAGTCTATAGCATATATACATACCTAGCCATCTCGGCTCGCCTCTTTGCCTGTTCTGCAATTTCGGATAGCTCCCGGTAGCTGTTCTTCTCAGTGAAGACATTAGAAGTCTCGGGCGGTTGAAGTCCATGCAAAGTTCTCTGAGCATGAGCCCATTGAGCTTCCCTCTCCTCTTTGCCATAGTCTTTCTTGGTGGTGAAGGCAGTCTGCATAATAACAATAATAATATCATGAACACATTGATTGTTCAGAATCAGAGATTCAGAAACCAATTCACCATCTTTTCTCTTCTAGTTACCTTGTTCTCCAGCAGGTTATTCCAGGCCTTCCCACTCAAGATGTAACGAGTGGCGAACTTCATAATGTCGAGTGGCACATAGAAAACGATGCTGTAGAGCCAGATCACCCCGGCCCATCCCCACCCGCACCCCTGAATTCTCGCGAACCCCCAGTTGGCATACACCGCAATCAGAGTAGCAACCTGAAGGCATTATATTGGCGATGGTTAAAAACCCGGTTTCTTTCTCGACTTATTGGAGAGGGAATTGAATAAAGACTCTCTTACCAACTGTGCAATGAGGAAAGCAACTAGCAGCAGCATTCCAGGCCGCTCCACGAAGGACCAGCTGCGAGAGCGAGTCACAAAAATCAGAGCCTGGCTCACAATACTCACTTGAAGATATAGCGCAGCCATCATTTCCTCATCGCTGTTCCTAATTGATCTTACACCGAACTTATCCTGCAGAAACAATAATACCCAAATCAGCACTACACGAAACTAAAACGATGAACCAACCAGAAATGGGAATCGGTCCTTACAGAGAAGAAGTCGGTGTCGTGCATAATCCAGAAGAAAATAACAGTCATCAGAGCCAAGTAGCCTCCAAGAACAACTCCTGTGGCGAAAATCTCTTTCAGTTTCCAACTATCTGGCAGCGGGGATGGCACTACTCTATCCTTCGAGATTGTCATAATGGTTCCTATAAACAAATGATTCGTCGTTTATGTTAAACTTTTGAACTAATACGAGGTAATTTTTCGAGAATTGGAAGGGGAGTTTACCATCATTTAGAATGGCAATGATGAGAACCATAAAGGCAGAGAAGTCATACTTCCAAATCAAGGAAATAAGCATGAAACCAAACTGCAAAAACGCGGTCACAAAATCAATGAGCTGCAAAACTTGCAGGATACGATTATAAACCTCAGAACTGCAATCGATATTCAGCTTACCACAATACGTATTGTAATGGACACTGCATATATCTGTGAAAACACCGAAAAGTCACAGAGTTAGAAGAAAAAGAACTAAAAGAAGAAAACATCAATGTCCTGATCGAGGATATAGAAACAAAAACATACAGTGTAGTTCTTCATCCTCTGGAAAATGGCTCTGCTAGTCAACACTGCACTAATGATAACGCTAAGCCCGGGCTCAGTGAGCACAATGTCAGAAGCGCCCCTCGCTGCATCAGTGGCATCGGCCACTGCAATCCCGATATCTGCCTTCTTTAAAGCCGGAGCATCGTTCACTCCATCACCCGTCATTCCAACAATGTGCTTCCTCTCCTGCAACTTCTTCACTATTTCGTACTTGTGCTCTGTACAACACAATCAAATGAATAAATCATCAAACTTTTCATTAAAAATATACAAGAAATGCGAATAAAACACCAACCTGGGAATACCCCAGCAAAGCCATCAGCCGTTTCGATCAATTCCTCTACTGGGAGGGATGCAATGGAAGCATCTTTGCTTTGACCGAGTAAAGAAGCAGACGGGTACATGTTAGTCCCCATTCCAAGTCTACGACCAGTCTCCTTAGCAATCGCAAGTTGGTCACCTGAATCCAGCCAGCAATATAATGGCAATTCGATAAACAAAACAATGTTGGGAGGGTCAAAAAGAAGCAGGAGTATAACGAGACGAGTACCAGTAATCATTTTAACATTTACACCGAGGTTAAGAGCCCTGCGGATAGTCTCAGCGCTGTCATGCCTGGGAGGGTCAAAGAGTGGTAACAATCCAACGAATTGCCACGGTCCACCCTCGCTCTCCTTTGATCTCTCGGGTACTTCCTGTCTCGATATAGCCAACGACCTCAGCCCACGTTCAGCGTACTTATCAATCACAGAATGAACCTTTCTCTTTAAGTCCTCCCTAGCATTGCAAAGACTCAAAATCTAAAGAAAAATTAAGACAAAATGTTAGTCTTACAATCTGCAATTCGATAACCAATGGTAATTAAAGACTAAACGGGCGAAAAAGAAACCTGCTCGGGAGCTCCTTTGCTAACCCTGTGCCAGTTTCCTTGAGCATCAATGTATGTCAAAGCAGTCCTCTTGTCTACTGGATTAAATGGCAAGAAGTGGACCTCTGTAATGCCCGCTCGTGCCTATATATCAATCAAAGCAATTATAAAGAGGAGATCGAGCTAGAATTAGAAAGAGGAAATCGAACTATATATGTATATAGCATACCTCCTTTGGATCAGCAAGCATTCCAACCATGGCAGCATCAATGGCATCCTGATTTTCAACCCTGGAAGCTCTAGCAGCAAAAAGGAGCACATGGTCTTTCTCAACGCCCTTCGCAAACACCTCTACCAAGTTCTTATCGACGCTCAGCTTGTTAAGAGTTAAAGTTCCGGTCTTGTCACTACACAGCACATCCATGCCCGCCATTTCTTCAATGGCAGTCATTCTCTTGGTGATGGCACCCTGCTGGGACAGCTTGTGAGACCCGATAGCCATTGTGACAGACAAAACCGTGGGCATGGCAATCGGGATGCCACCGATCAAGAGCACGAGCAGATTGTCAATTCCATCCCTATACTTCCTGTGCTGAATCGGGTACATCACGATAATCTCAGCTATCATGCCCACAGCAATGGAGCATATACAGAAGTTCCCAATGGCGGTGAGGACTTTCTGGAAGTGCCCGACTTGGTTCGTGCTGTCTACAAGATGTGCTGCCTTCCCGAAGAAAGTGTGAACCCCAGTGGCAATAACAACAGCTTCAATCTCTCCTTGTTTGCAGGTAGAACCCGAGAAAACTTCATCCCCGGGGTGCTTGGTCACAGGGAGGGATTCTCCCGTAAGGGCGGATTGATCAACCTTTAAAGGATCGCCTTCAAGAAGACGGGCATCTGCAGGGATAATGTCTCCCAATTTGATACTCACAATATCTCCTGGAACAAGAATAGCAGCTTCTTGTTCACTCCATCGCCCATCTCTCAGCACCTGCATAATCAGAATTCACAGGTTAACACATTGGGATTGATATATGAATGAATAGGAATGGGAAGTGAAAAAATGTACCTTGGTTTTGGGAGCAAGTCCGGCCATAAGAGCTGCAGCAGCATTGCCAGCATTGTTTTCTTCAATGAAACTAATAGTTGAGTTGATGACAAGCAAGCAAATGATACCCACAAAGTCTTGCCAATCTGGGGGCTTTCCATCTCCGTTAGCCAGTGCGATGGCCATAATGGCTGCAGCTTCCATCACCCATGATAGAGGGTTCCACATAAACCCCAGGAACTTCAGTAACTTGCTTTCCTGGATTCATTTCATTTCCACACCAAATTAACCATCCTTAGTAAGTGTAGTGTTGTGGTCCAGGTATCAAATATACACTGTAGTTTCGTTTCAACACAACTATAGTTTCATTTTGATATAACTACTACAGTTTCGCTGGACAATATACACTCAAATATGTGAAATTGTTATTCAGTTTCATTTTGTATACACTCAGTTTCATTTCAACACAACTACAATTTCATTTCAATTCAATTAGATTTTCATTTGATAATATAAAAATAATACGTGAGACAATGTCAGTTTAGACACACTATAGTATCTGCGGTTTTTGGACCGCAATCCACAGTATACCCGACCAGCTCAAATCAAGAAGGGCAATAGACTGCTCCCACTAAGTGAAAGTTAAAATTATAACATTGTAGTTATTAGAGCTGTCAATACGGACTGACGGGCCTAGGCGACACGGGCCAAAAAGCTCGCTCTTTGATGGGCCTAGGTTTTATTGACCTAGACCGCCCCTGGCCCGTGGGCTAGGCCCGCCACACCACTTTTTTTTTTTTTTTTTTTTTTTCTTTAACTCTTAGTTTGTTAAGTTTTATCATCTATACATTCTAAAAATAATTAAAATAACTTGTTACATAACTAACATAGAACATAGTTCATCAAACATTAGACATTATATAATACATAACAATAATTATAAAATTTATAGTCTAAAATTTTAAAACTTTAAACTAGGGTTATGTTTATTACTTATTAAGTTATAGTTAGATTAATCCCAAAAAATATGAATGTTGTATGTAACATTTAAATTTTTTTTAAAAAATGAAGTTTTAACTGCAATTAACACAACTGACAATGATTTAGATTTTTTGTAATGATAAGCCTAAATTAAAATTTTACCTTTTTCTCTTCCAATTTGTTGGGACCAAATATTTGAAGCCTGTTGGCCCCTTCGTCTGAACTCAAACCCTCTTTCGTACATTTCAACTGTTGAAACACTTCCTCGATGGGAATTTTCTCCTGCAAAACACCATTAAATAAATACGGAGTACAACTTTTTAATTAATTTTATGTTTAATACGGAGTACAACTTTTTATGTAATTTGTAAATATATAATTTTCATTTACTAATACTAGAAGTAATAGATATAAAAGATTAAGTTATAAATAATTAGTGCAAACTTTCGTTAATTGGATGAGATAAACAGAGTAATTAATATGAATCGAAGTTTTGACTTTTGATGAATCTATATTGATGTCAACCCTCTTAGGACTGCCTAATAACCTAATTAGTAAGTAGCCAGGTAATAAATAATATATTATGCATTAATTAATTTTTATTTTGTGAAGAGAGAAATTTATAATTACTGCTCGAGAGTATACACTGGATAAATTAAACTCTGTGAAGATATAAAACGCACTAGAAAGACCCTGTGCGACGGACTCGACCAAAAAGGTGCTAGCAAGAATTAAACTTGTGACATTTTGGTACGAGAATTATTCTACACATACTCAGCAACCCCTGACAAGAAATTAAATCATAGGTTTCAACTCAACATTAAATTAGATTAAGTACTTTGCAAGGTTCACACAATTCCATCTTGAAGGGACCACTTAATCACGTTGCAATTCCTTATTAAAATCATTTATAATTATGATCCCGGACTCCTAAATGTTTTTGTCTGAGAAATTAATAATAATAATAATAAAATAAATTGCAGTATGTGTCTTAACCGATCTAAAGGCCTCAAATTAAAACATGTATGACTGGATGTCAAATAGTAAAAAAAAAAAATGAAAACATACTATGACTGGATGTCAAATAGTAAAAAAAAAAATGAAAACATACATCAAAATTATTTTCCACAGTTATAAATTTCTTGTTATTTTTATGGTTATAAACTTTAAAACGGAAAATTCTTTATTTTAATAAAAAACTAATTATACGTAGTAATTAATAATATGTGTACTCGATCTTAATTACTGTAAATTACTGTAACCACTCATTTTATTGCCCAAAACAGAAATAGTCAAAGAGCCACCTTTTAATTAAGTCAACGAGTAATTGAGTACAAAACGATGATTTAGAAGTTCAAGAAATTATAAGAGAGAGAAATAAAAATATTTATTAAAAAAAGAAAATAGTCGGGCCATGAGTGTTCAGATGTGTGCATGTGAACGATGTACCTATGGATGTAGGCGATACATATATATATATATATATATATATATATATATATATATATATATATATACAAACGTTAAACATATACATATGTAGTGCACACACAAATAAATAAATAAAAATAAATAAAGATAAAAGTAAAACAGAAGGAAAAGCGAGAGTGGATAAAAACACAAGAAATATATATATGTATACCAGATCGACAGTCTCATTCTTGATCTCTTCGAGACTGATGCCACCCATTTTAGGTCAAAGCTTTAAAGAAAAGTGCAGGGAAGAAATCAAGCTTTCTGGAAATGGTGATACGTCGTCGTCCCAGCAAAGAACATCAGTTTCTCTCCTGAGTTTTCATCAATGGAGATCAGATATAAGACGATAAGAGAGAGAAAGAGAGAGAGAGAGAGAGAGAGAGAGAGAGAGATTGATTCTCTTGGCTCTTGGGAGAATGGAGAATGGAGAATGGTGGAGGTGAGACTCTCCATTTTATACTGTCACCAATCTCGAGAGTCAAATGCCCCTTCGCCACTCCTCTATAGGTTAAGAGAGTTGACTTCTCATACTAGAAAGCGATTAATTAAGGTTTTTCTTTTTTTATATATATAGAAATTATATTAAAGCTTCTATATTATTAAATATAAACGGTAAATGCATTTTAATTGTTTCTGACTAATTGTTTTAATTCATAACTTTTCATTATATTGTTACAATATGAACCTCTAACTATTAAAAAAATTACAGTTTTAAACACTGAATTAACAAAATTATTAAATTATTTTAAAATATTACTTAGTGCATTGGTATTTTAAAATTTTATTATCTTTATTCTTCATAACTTTTTCTGTTTTGACATTTCATCCGTAAAATAGATAATTGACAACCATTCTTCCTAAATTTTTCATCTTCAATTGTGGTATATTATTCCTATTTTCCTTATACGAACCTGTTAAAATCAAAAATTTTAATTTACAAATGAAAGATCAACACTAAAGAAGATTATAAATCAACACTAAAAGTTCTAAAATACCTATCCTATATGGTAAGTAATATTTTAATAGAGTTTAATAGTTATGTTGATCTATCCAGTGGTTAAAACTGTAACTTTTTTGAAAAGTTAGGTATGTATATTGCAATAATAAAAAAAAAAAAAATAGAGACTAAAGACTAAGGAGGGTGTATTCAATCAAGACTTTTTAAAACTTTTAAAGTGATTGATTTTAAATAACTTTTGTAGAATTTTTTTATACTTGCCTTAATCTTTTAAACTTTCATCAACTTTGTACGAGTTTATAAAATTCATATGACAAATATTTATAAACTTTTAAAAACTTTTTCATATTAAAAAGTCTACAAAAGCCATTAAAACTCTAAACTGAATACACCTCTACAAACATTTCATAACTTTTATTAATACATTGTTTATAATTTTCTTACAAAACTATATTTTTATAAATCATAAAAAAAAATTAATACATTGCAAAAAAAAAAAATGAATAAATTAATGCGTTGCAGACTTTTAAAATAAAGTTCATAGAATATATCTGGTGTTCCTCTTCGCAACCGCAAATAATAATTTATGAGTATTTGGGTTGAATATGCATTGTCACTAATTTTGCTGTGAACAAAATAGTTTAGGAAATTTGTGAACAACCGTAAGATTTTTATCTGCTGAGTATATTGGTATGAAAATAAAGAGATAAAAATAAAAAGTATATGAGTATTTATGAAAGGTTTTTGAAACGTACCGTAAAATTCTATAGAAATCGATGAAAAGCTTGTCTGGTTTAGATAGATGAAAAAAAATTTGGAGAGAAAGTTGAAAAGTTTGGGGTTGAAAGGTTGGATTTCATCTATTTATAATAATGAATAAAAAGTCTACAGAAATCCTATTCTGATAGAGTCTATGAAAGTTAATAACTTTTTGAATACCAGTAGACTTTTAAAGACTCTATAAAAGTCTGAATCGAATACTAGTATACTTTTAAAAACTTTTGAAAAGTCTGAATCGAATATTGATAAACAGAGTTTAAAAATTTAAATTAAATACCGCCAAACTTTTAAAATCGTTAAAAGTCTTTAAAAGTTATTAAAAGTCTTGATTGAATACACCCTCTAAATATTAAAATTATTATATTTCACCCTTAAACTTATATATATATATATATATATATATATATATATATATATATATATATATATATATATATATATATATATATAGGGAAGGGTTCAGGTGCGGGTATAGCTTCCCGTGCGGTTAAATCTGAGCAGTTGATCAAATTTAGATCAACGGCTCAAATTAATGAAAATTAAAAAAAAAAAAAACGCGTGCCTGGAACAAAGAAGTATAAGCTAAGGTGCACCTTAAGTGTTAAATCTTAATCACAAACTCACGCATTTTAAGTACAAAACTCACACACATTAAGCACAACCTCACGCACATTAAGCACAAAACCCACACACTTTAAATATTAACTCACAGACTTTAAGTTTCAACAACTACTGACATTAAGTACAAAACTCATGCACATTAAGTACAAAACCCACGCACATTAAGCACAAGCATCACGCACATTAAGCACAAAACTCACGCACTTTAAGTATTCACTCACAGACTTTAAGTTTTAACAACTATTCACGTTAAGCACATCCCCACACACATTAAGCACAAACCTCACGCACATTAAGCACAAAACACACGCACATTAAGCACAAAACTCACGCACATTAATCACAGATCCGCTCACCTTAATTTTGACCTAGATGCAAAAATTACAAAATTGCCACTGCGTTTTTTTTAAACTTTGATAATCCTGGACGTTGATTAAAGCGAGATGAATGGCTCAGATTAAACCGCACAACCGCACCTGAAGCCCTCACCCGCACGAGAACCTAAATATATATATATATATATATATATATATATATATATATATATATATATATATATATATATATATATATATATATATATATATATATATATATATATGAGTTAATATCCAAAATAGTCCATCGACTATGTCGTAATTACCAATTTGGTCCTCGACTATTATTTTTACCCAATTAAGTCCTCAACTATACAATTTTTACCCAATTTAGTCCTTTGTCAATTTGACTGTTTGTTGACTGTCAAAAGTGGAAATAAAGTTGTAATTTTACAAGTTTTCTCCTTCCTCCTCATTTAGCAGCGCCAAACCATGTAGCAATAAGCTCCGGCTGGGTTCTAAACCTGTCAGTATCGAAGTAGTGGTTATGCATCAGATAGCCCATGAATTTTATTTCCAACGATTTTTTGACGATCGAAATCTGATCGGAGTGTATTGCTGGATGATTTGGCGCTGCTAAATGGAGAGGAAGGAGAAATCTTGTAAAATTATAATTTTATCCCGACTTTTGACAGTCAACAAACAGTCAAATTAATACAGAGGACTAAATTGGGTAAGAATTGTATAGTTGAGGACTAAATTGGGTAAGAATTGTATAGTTGAGGACTTAATTGAGTAAAAGTTACATAGTTGAGGACTTAATTGGGTAAGAATGGTAGTTGAGGACCAAATTGGTAATTATGGCATAGTCGAGGGACCATTTTGGGTATTAACTCTATATATATATATATATATATATATATATATATATATATATATATATATATATATATATATATATATATATATATATATATATATATATATATATGCATCAATTAACCATTATATTCCTTAACAACTCCCATTTGTTATTGACATTACCACCTGAAATTTTGTATGTACTTAATCTCATATATATAGTCGGTCTTAAACATGTGTAGCATGAACAACGGCTCTCAATTTTTAAAGGGTCAATTTCCTATCAATTTAATATTTCATCAACGACTTAGAAGTTTTTTTAAATTTTTTATTTTCATAAATATAATAATATTTATAAATTCATTACTCAAAATACCATACATTTATTATGAGTACAAGTAAATTAAGAGAAACATTTACAGATAAAATTGAAATTATATTATTTAGCCAATACACTAATTATACTATATTAAACTTTTATGTGTCCGATCAAACAATATTTTTTAGGCAAAAGGGGAATGTTTAAAGTTTATTACTATTAGTTTATATATATTTTTTGTTTTAGTCTAATCATGTCATTAAATTGAATTTATAATTGTTTATAAAGTTTATTGTTTATGAGGATATTAATTATATTGATAAATGATAAATATGCATGCAAGGTGAATTATAGTAATAATAATAGTCGTACTAAAGTCAAATTTGCATCTATTTTAGTAATTTGAAGGAATAGAATTGGTAAAAATTAAGGAAATTGTTAAATAATTGATCATAGGAGCGTGGTTTACTTCGTACACATACACCTTTAAGTAATGATTGCGAATTTTCCTTATTACCTAAAAAAAATAGTAAAAATGCATATGAAACAGTACATCTTATGATATTTTTTTTGAAAAGTACATCTTATGATATAAATGACTAAATAAATATAAATTTGATAATTAAAGATAGGAAAAATAACACTTTTTTCCCCTTGTGTTAATAAATAAGATTAAAAGTCAATAACAAAAAATAATAAAATCACTATAATTGAGGATCATTAATTTTGTAATTTAATCAAAACTTCACTATTTCTATCCTCTTCGTCATGAAAGTTTTTTCATATTCCGGCATATTGATTTAAATAATGTTTATATCTTTTGGGTTTTCATCAATTTTATTTCATTGCATTTATGATTGATTAAATTCATTATCAAATTGAGTTGTAATAACATTGATAGACAACTTCAAGAGTTTTTTATTTTTTTATTTTTTTTTTATTTTTTTTATTTTTTATTTTTTAAATATGCTACTGACTCTATTACAGACCTAATGAAACTTGGAGTATCTGTTCAAACATATTTTTTCAATTTAATGAAGCACAAAGAGTCAACAACGCCTCCACTGAGGCTCTCATAACCTCCTACATGAAAGAGATCACTACATACATGCCATCTGAGCACAAGGTTATTTTATTAAAATTAACATTGAATTGTTTCTTTGTGTGTCATACCTCAATCCAAATGACTCATTTTCAAATTTCAACTTTTAATAAAGAAAAATTTATTCGCTTGAATCATATTTTGCCCTTCTGAATTTCAATTGGTGCATTTTTTTAATAGTTGATAGTTGACTTGAAAGAATTTTCACAAATACTGAGATTTTTTTTCAACAATGAATTGAAGATATATATTTAGGGGGCAATGTTTAGGAGAAGAGACCAAAATTCGAGCATCTATCAACAGTGACAGTGTGAGAATTATATTCAAAGTGGACAGATCTTTTATTTAGAAATTAAAAATCATCACTTATTTAAAGTAAAGTAGACAGATCCTTTATTTAGAAATTAAAAATCATTACTTATTCAAAAGTAACGTAAAAT